CAGATATTTTGTAGAATGTCTCTAAGTTTGGGTTTGTTTGATGCTTTCTCATGATGAGACTAGAGTTATGGGTTTGAGGACAGAACAACTAGCACAGAGGTCAAGTGTCCTTCTTTCAGTACACGATATCCACATGATGTATGACTGGTGATTTTAACCTTGGTCAGTTTGTTTCTTCCTTGTAAAGTTACTGTTTTTCTCTTCCCATACTCTGTTCTTTGGAAACAAGTCGCTAAGTCCAACTCACACTTTCCCACAAGGGGAAAGGAATCCAGGAGGGAAGAGTATCTGCATGTATTTGGGATTTTTCCCAAACGGGGAGATTTGTCCCTTCTCCCTCATTTATATATTCAGTTATCATTTATATCAATATGGATTATAACCTTAAGTTATAATCTATTACTGTGTTATTTTGTTGCTCAAATTATTCCAGATTAGGCTGTATCAGATCAGCTCCTATGTCCCTTTGCATGCCCCTATCCGAAAACATCCTTGTGTTTTTTGAATACTTCCTTTCTGGCCCTACAGGGTATTCTAGACTCATCTTGTATTCTCTCTGCTTCAGCCTAGAATCAGCCATTTTTCTCCAAGGAGCCCTAGTTCCTTTTATTAGATAATGGTATTTGGAAATCAAGATCTAGGCACTGAGTGTGCTTGTTCCTACTGAAGTGTCACTGATTCCAGGTCCTTCCGCTAGGTAGAGCTAGGAAATACATGTATGTATACTAACCCATGTGTACACACATACTTAGGATTATGTCTATATCTTATGTTTATCATCTCCCCATATACGTACATACGTACAAATAACATAACAAATAAATGTTTATTTATATACATTAATAAACAGCTATGTAAAGCTAAAGGAGTTTATACTGAATTCTCTGACTGATCCAGCACCACATTCATTCTAGCCTTCTATCCTTGCTTTTGGAACTTCTTTCTCTGGGCTCTCATTATCTATCACTTATTTACTTATTTGTTCAGTCCTAGCCTACTTGTAGTTTCAGGATTGTTAACCCATGCTTCTATAAGAAACAAATTTGCCAACTAGAGTACAGTGTTTATGTATAATTCTTTCTGTCTTTAGTCTTACAGTTTCCAGTCAAAATGATGTTTTCCAAAGTTACTTAGGTCAGCTTTTTCCCCACCTTGAAGGTTGTGAGGTTAGGTCATGTTACACATTTCTAATACAGTTTGATACATTTGTCACAGTCTGCATTCCATTCTGGATTCTCCCAACATCCTGCTTGATATTTTAAAATTTGCATATATTAAAGGTCTTTGTGATGGACAGTTTTATGGGTTTTGACAAATGCCATGATTTTATTTTTAAGCAAATCATTAGCGCCTTCATAGTTAGCAACATACTTACAACACACTTGGCAACTGATCTTTAGTTCAACTGATGAACTAAATTAGTTCATCTAAAAACCTCTTTCTCCCACAGCATTCATTGAACCTTCATTTATCATGTCTCAGCTCACATCATTGATGATTCTCTCCAGGAGTGTCTTGAAAGATTCTGAGAAAAAAAGGCATCTCCTCCTCTCTGCACTGTCCCTCATGAGGTTGGAAAGGCTTTTTATGGAAAGGAAGGGACAACAAGGCAAAAGCCAGTACTTGAACCAGCCTCATCCCATCTGACCTACTACAGCCTCCAGCTTCTAGTAAAACCTCTAAGGTACTGGTTTTCAAATTGTGAGCCCCCAGAACAACAGTAACAGCATCACCTGGGAAATTGTTAGAAAGGAGAATTCTCAGGCTCCACCCATACTCACTGAATCAAAAACTCTGGAACTGGGTTCCAGTAATCTATTAAAAAAAAAAAGATAGTAGGAAGGGAAAAATGAAGGGGGGGAAATCGGAGGGGGAGACTAACCATGAGAGACTATGGACTCTGAGAAACAAACTGGGGGTTCTAGAGGGGTGGGGGGATGGGTTAGCCTGGTGATGGGTATTAAAGAGGGCACGTATTGAATGGAGCACTAGGTGTTATACGCAAACAATGAATCATGGAACACTACATCAAAAACTAATGATATAATGATGTAATGAATGGTGATTAACATAACATCATAAAATAAAAAAAATTTATATTCAAAATGGTAAAAAAAAAAAAGTCCTCTGGGTGATTCTGATGCACACTAAAGTTTGAGAACCTCTGCTCTAGGTTAACCAGCTATTCATCAGTCACATCTGTAGAGGCAGCAGTGAGGATTCATCTTGACTTCCTGCTAGGGCCTGGGGGATCCAGAACTGGTCAGCCAGGGGCAAGCTGCAAGTGCAGCCAAAGGGTTAAAGGGCTGTTTTTCTTTTGGTTTGTTTGTTTGTTTTTAATTGTGATTCACCAGAGGATGGAAAATTTCTGGCTTGGATGTCTGGAGGGCAATATATGTTATCTCTTTGAGACAGAAGAGGAAGTCTTAATGATACTAAAACTTTTATATGCTTTTTTTTTGTAACTGCAAAATAACTGAAATCACAAGTATTTAACAATTTTCTTTAGTGATTTCAGTTTTTTAAAATTTTTTACATTTGTTATTTCTAATGTAAAACAATCTAATCTAATGTAAAAACAATATGATCATATTTGCATGTTTTAATTAACATTTATACTTCAGGGAGGTAAAAATGATTGGCATCCAGTATGAGGTTGTAGTAAGAAAAATGTTGGGAGATATTTTCTGATCTAGGTAAACCTCTCATGCCTTCAAGTCCCTAATTTCACCTCCACCCCAGACACTTCTATGACTTCAGATCTTACTCCCCTTACTCTGTTCCAGCCACACTGGCCTCCTCTTTGTGGTTCCTAGAACCACTGTAGGGCCTTTGCATGTAACAGTTGTTTCTGTTTGGAATATCCTGCCAACAGATATCTGCGTAGCTAGCTCCCTCACTTCCTTCAAAAGTGGCATTCTCAAAGAGAACTCACCCTACTAGTCTACCTAAAATCTCCTACACACACCCCATTCCTAGCACACAAACACTTCACTTCATGTCATGTTCCCAGTGTTCATTTTTTCTCTTTGTTTTCAGTGTTCATTTACTATCTGTGTGTGTGTGTGTGTGTGTGAGTGGGTGTGTGCGCATGCTCACACATATGTATATATACTTTGTTTCCAGTGGAATGTAAGTTTTATTAGCATAGATTTTTATCTGTTTTATATATTGTCTAGAACAATGCCTGACACACAGTAGGTACTCAGTTGTTATTTGTTGAGTGAATATCTCCAAACATGCATTTATGTGACTGGTAATAATTAGGGGTACGTGATAGCATTTTTGCCTTATCATTATTACCCAAACTGAGCCGAGAGGCACCTTGTTTTTTCTTCTCCTGAATTGCCTCCATTCTAATTAAGAGGGATGGGGAAAGGCAATACCTAAGAAAATAATTACAGATTCTTTTTGCTTCCTGTGGACCTTATAGCTCACTGCCAGTTAACCTTGCTCCTTTCTGTCTCAGTGCCTGCAAGAAGGGAATGGGGCAGGCTGGTGTGAGATGGGGCCTTGTAGGTCACAGTAAATAAGGGGTTCCCTGGGGAAGATGAAAAAGTCCTAGAGATGGATGGTGGTGATGGTGATACAACAGTGTGTATATACTTAATGCCACAGAACTGTACACTTAAAAATGGCAAATTTTATGTTATGTATATTTTACCACGATTAAAAAAAAAAAAAACCCAAACACAGTGGTTCTGAAAGTGTAGTTTCAAATCATTAGTAGCAGCTTCACCTAGGAACTTGTTAGGAATGCGGATTCCCAGCCTCCACCCCAGCACTGTTGATTCTGAAAGTAGAGGTAGGAGTCCGCAGTGCTTTGTGTTAACAAGCCACTCAGGTGGTTCTGACACACACTGATGTTGGAGAATCACAGCATTACAGCATTTTGTTTTAATCCCTAGAGCTATGAAAAACTATTGTAAAGTTTTATAGAATAGGGCGCCTGGGTGGCTCAGATGGTTAAGCGTCTGCCTCCGGCTCAGGTCATGATCCCAGGGTCCTGGGATCGAGTCCCACATCGGGCTCCCTGCTCCTTGGGAGCCTGCTTCTCCCTCTCCTTCTCTCTCTCTGTCTCTCATGAATAAATAAATAAAATCTTTAAAAAAAAAAAGTTTTATAGAATATCTTCATGCCCTGGTAACTGCATAAAGTTGCCTTGGTGAGAAATTCTGACCACTTTAGGGGTAAAATTGAAAAGTGCTATGGAAATGTTTTGAAAATTACTAGTTTAAGTAGCGCTTCAAAAAACAAACTTAAAATTTAGAGGCCCTGCTGTGTTTCAAGCGTCTCACCAAATGCTCTCACATTTGTTTTTCCACTTAACCCTCAAATCAGTCCTGGGCAGTAAATACTACATTATCCGCATTTAAAATGAGAAAAGGAGCGGAGATGGATTACGCGGGGATTGATCTACTTTCCTCCTGGCGCACACTTACTACCACTAGGTGGCAGTGGTGGGCTGGTTACCCAGACCTGGGCAAGGCCTTCTGGGATTACAGACAGAAAATGAAATAAATGTGGCCCCTTATGAAAGAATTTAGAGGGCAAATAACCATAATCTTTATATAAACAGGTTCCAATTTCTGGTATGTAAGAGGATCTCTGAAAATCCACTCCTGTATAAAAGCAATGAGGGGCACCTCGGTGGCTCAGTGGGTTAAGCATCCGACTCTTGATTTCAGCTCAGGTCATGATCTCAGGGCTGTGGGATGGAGCCCTGCATCGGCTCAGTGCCTAGTGTGGAGTCTGATTCTCCCTCTCCCTCTGCTCCTCCCCTGCTCCACACACACTCTCTCTTTCTCAAATAAGTAAAATCTTAAAAAAAAAATAAAAGCAATGAAAACACTGTGAAAAATTCTTAAAATTTTTTCAGAACTAGTAAATAACCAGAGGCTTGTGACAATCTGAGTAGCATTTATCCAAGAAAAATGACTTAAACATGGTAAGAACAGCAAGCTTTATAATAGCTTTAACAGTTTTCTATCTCCTGTCAGCTTCACAGTAGCCTTGAAAATGAATAGCCTCAAGGAAAACCAGCAGTTCTAGCAGGCACTGAAGAGAATGGATTTGAAGCTCCCTAAAATCCCCAGCCCCCAAGAATTGTTACCATTAGCTTGTCTGGCACTTCCCTGGAAACTCCCACCCACTGGGCTTGCCTGGTTTTCACCTGACTCAGCTAATTCATTGGGAACAGCTTCTCCCGACGCACCCCAGAGCACGCTGCGACAGGCACATGAAGCCCTTTGGCAAAGGCTGGCAAACTTGCTGGTGGAAAGCGTCGAAGGACGTCCCTGTCCAATGGTTAGGTAACCACTAAGCTAATACAACATAGATAGAATACAAGGGACTATAGATTAATGGAATAGAATTGAGAGTCCGGAAATAAACCCTCACATTTATGGTCAATTGATTTTCTATATTGTGCCAAAACAATTCAACAGGGGGAAGAATTGTTTTTTCAACCAATGGTGCTAGGAAAACTGGATTTCCACCTGCAGAAAAATGGAGGTGGATCCTTTCCACACATAATATACCAATATTAGCTCAAAATCGACCAGGCCTAAATGTTAAAACTAAAACAACATTCTTAGAAGATAACATAGAAGCTTTTGTGACCTTGTATATGACACCAAAAGCTCAAGCAACAAAAGAAAAAAAAATGGATTAAGTTGGACCTCATCAAAATTTGAAACATATTTCTGGGATGGTGAAAATCTTTTGGAATTAGATGGTAGTGGTCAGTACACAACTTTGTGAATAAGCTAAAAACCACTGAATTATACACTTTAAAAAGGATGAATTTGAGGCATCTGGGTGGCTGAGTCGGTTAAGCGTCCAACTCTTGTTTTTGGCTTGGGTCATGATCTTAGGGTCACAGGGAGTCCACTTTAGATTCTCTCTCTGCCTCTCCCTCTGTCCTTCCCCCCCCAAAATAAATAAATCCTTTAAAAAAATAACGTTTATGATATGGAGTTATGTATGTGTCAGTAAGTGTTACTTTAAAAATCTTTACACAAATATAAACATATGCCCATATAAAGTCTATAGAAGGGGGTGCCTGGGTGGCTCAGATGGTTAAGCATCTGCCTTCGGCTCAGGTCATGATCCCAGGGTCCTGGGATGGAGCCCCGCATCTGGCTCCCTGCTCAGCGGGAAGCCTGCTTCTCCCTCTCCCACTCCCCCTGCTTGTGTTCCCTCTCTCACGGTCTCTCTCTCTCTGTCAAATAAATAAATAAAATCTTAAAAAAATAAAATGTAAAGTCTATAGTAGTATCTTTTAAATTGTTACATTTAAATTTTTTTTAACAACAAGAGAAAAAAAGTGAAGAAATCATGTTTCTCACCAGCTTTGGGAAGCCCACCTCTGACCATATTTTACTCCTATTCCCTCTTTTGCCTCCCCTTATTGCTCCAACTCTGAAGCTACAAAGATATCCAAGTTGAAGTTTGGAACTGCAAAGGTACAGACTATTTGTCTACTAACAAATAGATTTTAAAAACTACTTGAACTTTCCTGTGAGCTTTTATCCACATAGCTGTGAGAGCACATTCTTCTTGCATTAAAGGCAAGTCTTGGGCATTCCTTTTTTGGTTACACAGAGCATTAGGCAGTGCCAGGACACTAATCAGATTTATCACTGGTGCCTTTCCAGCTTTCTTTTCTGTTCCATTGTACTTCATAGCGCTCCCCTTTTTCCATGTTCTAGGACTGTAGGGCGCTTCTGATTCTGAATCCTATACCAGCCTTGGTCTCTCTCTTGTACCATGACTCCCATACTCAGAATCACCCCCTCTTTCCTCTCACCCTCATCAAAACTATTTCTGGCTGTCTCTCCTTTGACTTCTGATTAATTATGACTGATTTAGAAATTTCATGCTAAGGCTGAAGGTGAAAGTGGCTAACTGAAACTAAGTTTTTTTTTAAACATTTATTTTTATTTTAGAGAGCATGAGCAGGAGGGGCAGAGAGAGAGGAAGAGAGAATCTCAAGCAGACTCCAAGCTGAGTGAAGAGCCCAATGCAAGCAGGGCTCAGTCTCACGACCCTGAGCCAAAACCAAGAGTTGGACGCTTAACCGACTGCGCCCCCCTAGGCGCCCCCTGAAACTAAGTTCTTAAGCATACATTTGTTTTAAGAATGAATGCATTTCCTAGTTTTGTTTACTGAGAAGGCATGGAAACAATGACAAACTCAGTAACAATGAGTCTTCCTAAGGCATCTCTAAAAATACTTCTTTAAAGGAACCAGAGCATACTAAATTCCAAACCAGGGGCAGAAAGCATTCAAAATGAATCTGTAATATCATGTCAGAAAGTAAGGAAGCTATCAATGATCACTGAGCACATGTTGAAAGTACTCAGGAGCCAACATAGAAGGGTCCCTAATGACTAAAAATGAGACTGAGTATCAAAAAGAAAAATGACTGAAATGGGCTGGGGTACATGTGTTAAAATGCAAGAGTTCTTTATGTTATTTCTATTCATTTTTTAAAAAGATTTATCCACTTATCTGAGAGAAAGAGTGTGCATGTATAAGAGTGGGGAGGGGCAAAAAGAGAGAATCTTTAAGCAGACCTTCTGCTGAGCGTGGAGTTGGACATGGGGCTCAATCCCACAACCCATGAGATCATGACCTGAGCCATAACCAAGAGTTGGACCTTCAACCAACTGAGCCACCCAGGTGCCCCCGCCCCGTGTTATTTTTAAACAAAAGATCACCTGTGGAGGCTGCAAGGAAAGCAATCCATTAATTTGAAAACTGGCAAAGGGAAAGAACCAAGCATTTATTCCACATTTCTTGTGGGCTTTTACCTTAGGATAATCAAATAGTTAATGTAGAATAAGACCATTTTACAACCCATATTGAAATAATAGATCTAGATAACATCATCAATGTCTGCTAAAAACATCAAATGAAAGGTTGAGGGAGGTCTTTATAAGGTATGAGTCAGACTGATACAGTAGGATCGGTATAGTAGGATACAGTAGGAAGTATGCAGCACCACCTGTGCACGTGCTTGCTAAAAATTCTAACCTAAATCTGATGAAGCCTCAAAAATCTGTTTATAAGAAAAAGAATTTAGAAGAATATGTTAAACAACACCAAGGGGATACCCTCCCCAAAATCCCAAATGAGGGAAATTCTGTAGAACTAATGACCTAGCTTCTTCAACAAATAACAAGAAAGGAGGGGGAGATCTCTACAGGACACAACAACCATATTCAGTGTGCCCCTATTTAGAATAAACCAACTATTAAATTATAAGCCCATTGGGGAAATTTATTTGATCATAATATGCTAATATCAAGGATATAATATTTTTTAATTAAGCTAATGGTATTCTGGATGATTTTGAGAAGTTGCTGTTTTGAGATGCATACTGAAGTATTTATAGATGAACTAAATAGGATGTTTGGGATTTGCTTTAAAATAATTCAGTAGGAGGTCACCTGGGTGGTTCAGTCAGTTGAGCATCCAGCTCTTGATTTTGGCTCAGGTCATGATCTCAGGGTTGTGAGATTGAGTCCTATGTTGGGCTGTGCGCTCAGCACAGAGTCTACTTGAAGATTCTCTCTTCCTTTCCCTCTGCCCCTTTCCTGACTCTCTCACTTTCTCTGTCTCTCTCAAAAATAAATAAATTAAATCTTTAAAAATAAAAAAAATAATTCAGTAGGGAGTTGGGGGGTGTTCAGATGAAACCATATTTATTGGCTTAGTTGTTGACACTGGGTGGTGAGTACAATGGAGATTTATAATACTGATCCCTATGTGTACTTAGAATTTAGATTTTAAAAATTATATATAATATAGTTTTATACATTTTTAAATATATAATTTAAAAATTTTACACAATTCATGATTACATCTAAATTTGATTTCCAGTTGGAGAATTATGGCTTGGGTGGAAGAAGGCTTTCTTGAGCCCCTTGCTGCCATTGCAGCCTACCCAGAATTTACCAGAGTAGTATTGACAACTTGGCATCCTGGTTTATCACTTGTGGGAGGTTCTAATCTTTACCTAAACTGCCCAGTGCTATAATATGTAATATTTCCACCAGAACCATTGTTATGACAAGATACATGTGAGAAGTACTTTTATAAAACTTACAGCTGATAAAATGTTTATAGTATAAATTTTTTTCTTTTTCTTTTTAATATTTTATTTATTTATTTGACAGAGAGAGAGACCGTGAGAGAGGGAACACAAGCAGGGGGAGTAGGAGAGGGAGAAACAGACTCGCCGCCGAGCAGGGAGCCCTATGTGGGACCCGATCCCGGGACTCCAGGATCATGACCTGAGCCAAAGGCAGACGCTTAATGACTGAGCCACCCAGGCGCCCCTAGAGTATAAATTTCTAACTTATAAACATGTATATTTTAAAATAGGACCAAATATCATATTTTAAATACGTGTGTCTTACATAGAGTAGTATATTCACTTTTTAAATGAGTTAATTTTTGTAAATGAAATATATACTTTGTAGGCATTTTTTATTTTGAGACAACATTAGATTTTCTTTCTCTGAAACATTTTCTGTCTTTTCTAGGAAGTTATTTTAGGTTATATGAAAGAGGTGCTTCCTCATCTCTAAGACTTAGCAGAAACTCCGACTTGAAGAGAATAAATGGATATTGTGCCAAACCACAAGAAAGTCCAAAAGCTCCACCCTGTAAGTTTTTATTCATTTTTCCAGTTACAGACTAAGCAGTTCCCAAAGAGTGAAACAACTTGGAATCAAAAGAACCTAAAAGACAGGTTGTTCCAGGGGTTCCTATGTCCTACCCTTTCTTATAGTTCATGCCTCCCAAATTGTACTTATATTGGCTCATATGAAGCAATGCTTTCTTCATTTTCCTCATCTGTCCTTTTTATCTCTTGTTTCCAGGATTAGACTGGAGCTTTTTGTTGGAGAATAGAGGCATCAAATGAAATAGTGATCTAGAATTGGTCTTTTAAGGAACCCCAAAGATGAACCAAATTGGGAAATGATATTTTAGGTACAGTATAACTAGGGCTAGCCTCTGGCTTGGGCATTAATTTCAGCCATCGTTAGTCTTATTCTTATCTTGTCACTGTCCACTGTGGAAACAAGGAGTATAATGTATAAACTGTAGGGTCCCATGAGCTATTTGCTTCTTACTTCTTCATGGGAGTATACTAGGGTCAGGCAGGTCTTGGTAAATAGAAAAGAACTATCCTCAAAGAATATTTATCAAGAACTTAAAAATGTTTATACCCTTCAACCTGGTATTTCATTTCTGGGGATCTAGCCTCAGGAATAATCCCTATTATAGAAAAAAGCTCTGAGTGTAAAGATGTTCCCATATTTTATATGTAATAGGAAAATGAGAACTAATCTAAATGTCAGATAATCTGGGAATGATTAATCATGTATGTTAGATCTACTTGATGGAATTATGCAGCTGTTGGAAATGGTGCTTGTAAATACCATGTATTGGCATGGAAAATGTTTGTCATAATGTCAGTGAACAAAGCAGGATACAGAAGTTTATATTGTATGTAAGCATAGCATGATACACATATAAATATATAAGTTTATATAAATAAACATATAAATCCCCATACTTATGGGGATAAGACTTAGGAAACACTACCAAAATAGAAATACAGTGATTATGCTATGACAGGAGCATTAGGGATAGTTTTTATCTTCTTTTTTTACATCTATACTTTCCAAATTGTCTTTAATGTACTTAAAATGAAAACAACAAAAAAATAACAACTATAGAGCTATGCCAAGTGCTGGAAGGGTTAAACGATAAAACTACAGCAATGCTATTTCTGTACTTCTAAACCTCTGCTCTCACCATCAGTTTTTTATGGATTTTTTTCCTAGTGACTTTCCAGTTCCTTTTGCTGTTGCATTCTGAATAAGTGAAAAGAACAGCACAAGCAAAGGTGTGGAGGTGGGAATGAGTATGTCGTGTAGGCAGCAGTGAAGGAGATGGTCTGTCTGCAAGAGATGTAGGCAGTACATGGAAGTTGGATGAGATTATCTCCAGGGTCCTTTCTAACCCTAACATTCTGCGATTCCCTAACTTTTTCTGCTCCTTTAGTGACTTCTTTTTTTGAAAGACTTTCTCTTCCAGTCTGCTGTTGTGTGCCTTTCTTATTCATCTGCCTCTTTGGCCACTCCATTTTCCTCTGCTGCACCTTTCTCCTGTCTCCTCTCTTGGGTCTTTATCACCTTCACTGGCTCCCTTTGCACCAATGATTATCTCAACTTTGACTTCATTAATGAAACCTATTCAGATGGCGTAAATTTAGACTCGATATTATGTAAAATGGCATTCATGCCTTTTCTTTTCCTAACTGGTTCTTTTCACAGTCTCCTTATCTTGGTTAACAGTACTGCTGTTGTCTTACTCATTCAAGTTTGAGGTTCTTCTTTGATTCCTTCCTGTCTTAATCAGCCTCCAAATCCTTTCAGTCATCTTCAGATGGACTTTTTTGTCTCTGTTCTCACCGTTACAACTCCAGTTCAGACCATACCACCTTTCTTGCATTACAACCTCCCATTTGAACTTGTTGCCCACTCTGTCCTATCCTTCCTCTCTTCCATCTATTATGCCCATTAATCTTCTAAAACATTAACTTCTTCCTTTCTCTCTTCCATCTATTATGCAGATTAATCCTCTAAAACATTAACTTCTTCCTTGCTTCAAAGTGTACAGTGATTCCCAAATCAGGTTTAAAAAGCTTAGCCTGGCATTCAGGGTCTTTTGTAATCTTATTTTACCTTATAACCTTTTTCTTTTTCTACTGAAGTCAAATAAGCTTCTCACTGTTCCCTTCTTAGTTCTTCTCAACCTTTATATCTTTGTTTAACATGGTGTTCTTTCAACTTTCAATGGCTAGGAAATAATACTTTTATTTTACCTCAGTCCCCACAGAATTTTGGAACCTCGTTTGAGAAATGAGGCATCCTAAGAAATTCCATTCAAATAAAGCTCTAATTAGCTTGAGGTTTCTCAATGTTTCTGTTTCATGAATAGCTAAAGAGCATACATAGCATTTTTTTAATTGCTAAATTTGAGAGTTATAAGCTCAAATAAGGAATCTTGTCTTGTTTTTCTCATAGACACTTACAGCCACAGAGTGCCATTACACAAACCTACACACTGGGAGAGGAAGATCCTGGTATGGTCAGGTCGCTTCAAAAAGGAAGATGAAATCCCAGAGACTGTCTCGTGAGTGCTAAACATAGGGGTTATAAGCAGCTTTTTCTTTCTCACTGATTTCAAAGGCAAAACAGTTCCTCTGAGTCTGACTATTTAAAAACTTTCAACCAAATTTTAGAATAGTTTTCACTTCTCAAAATGTTTCCTCTTTGGCAAGTACTTGCAGTAAAAACAGTGCTGGAAAATCTTGTATCTTATCATTGATATGTTATGTTGTGCCTAGTGGAGACCTGTCAGGTACTCTGAAGTCAACTGATTGATTTCCTCTCCGAGCTACAGAAATGTGACCAAGCAGTGATATTCACTGTTCTTAGCTTATTTTTAATCTGGGTATATCAGTTAGGTACCACTGACAATAAATAATAGTTATATTCTACAAAACCCACTAAAGTATTCAACATAGACATAAAAGTATTTAAGAGCAACATATTCTCTTTCTGGGATCCCAAAAAGCATGCTTCCTGTCCCTGTCACCAACTTCCTTGAACCCAGCCCTAACTCGGGTCTTGGGACTTTTTCAGAGTCTGTGGATAAGTATAGATTCCTCTAACCCAGGGTTTCTCAACCCCAGTGCTATCAACATTTTGGGCCAGATAACTCTCTGTTGGTGGGAGCTGTCGTGTACATGGTAGGATGTTCAGCAGCACCCTTGCTTGGCATTTTCATCCCCCAGATGCCAGTAACGCTCAGTGTAATAGGTCTCCAGACATTGCCAAATGTCCCCAGAGGGGACAAAAACAAAAAAACCCTGACTGAAGACCACTGCTCCAGCCTGATGTTAAAGACCCTGATTGATTTGCATCTTGGCCAAGAGAGATGCTGAGAAGCAGGTGCAATCTCCCCTGTGGGGCGTCATCCTTTTCAGAGACAGGGACTTGGGACAAAGCTCCTAGACATTCCCTTCTGGTGAGAAACTGTTCCTGGACCTTCTGGCTTCTGGTTTCAAGGCATGATTTTAAACGATCTGAGTTCATTCAGGGTATCTTTTCCCAGGAAGAGAAGTGTGATTTGCTTTTTTGTTTACAAGGGCTTTAACAGCCATTCTGCTTCTGCCTGTCAAATTAAATAGCACATTATCTTCACTAAAATTATTTCAGCAGGAAAGCCCCGGTCCTTCTTAGCTAAAGTGACAGTGTACTCTCCTGGAAAACAAGAGCAAGCTGGAAATAACAATGATATTAAGTTCTTTTTTTTTTTTTTTTTTGAGATTTTATTTATTCATTTGAGACTGAGAGAGAGAGCACGAGCACAGGAAGACGCAGAGCGAGAGGGAGAAGCAGACTTCCCGCTGAGCAGAGAGCATGATGTGGGGCTCGATCCCAGGACCCTGGGATCATGACCTGAGCCGAAGGCAGACGCTTAACTGCCTGAGCCACCTAGGCGCCCCTGATAATTTCTTGCGTGTGTCTTAATTTCTTCCTGAATATTCCAGGAGAAAACAAGCTGCTGCATACCCATGGTCCTAATAGGTGCTATATAGATTTTACCATGGAACACCTTCCTCAGTCTGCCTTGGGGGTGGTTCCAAGATCCCCCTCAAGCCCAAATTACTACCAAGTCACCCTAGAATGTTCTGCTCTGAGCCTGGACAAGTGTTCATCCATATGCTGGTAGGTCTGAATAGGCACTGCTTAACTTGTCCATTCTGATTGCTTCCTATAGCATGGAGGGCAACCTCATGACCTTATTTAAATGCATTTTACTTTTTTAATGTAAAATACTTTTAATGTATAATAATACATTATATGCATAATAATACATTATATATATATATAATTTTTTTAAATTTTAATATATAAAAAAATTTTTTTTAAGAGAGAGCGCTGGCACAAGAGCGGGGTGGAGGAGGGGCAGAGGGAGAGAGAGAATCCCAAGCAGGCTCCACGTTCAGTGAGGAGCCCGATGTAGGGCTCGATCCCACGACCCTGAGATCATGACCTGAGCCAAAATCAAGAGTTGGATGCTTAACTGAATGAGCTACTCAGGGGCCCCAAAATGTAGAATACTTCTAATGAAAAGTAAAATATATTACTTTTCAGGAGTATCACAGCACTTTAATTGGACATGCCAGTTCACATAAAATATTGTCAACATGGGTAGTTAGTTTATGGTTGGTGGGCTCTCAGATGCTCTTAATAGAGCAATTCACTGTTCTTAGCAATTGTCCCTGGTTCCTCTCACCACCCTGCAGGCCCAGCTTCAGTGCCTGGAGAACTCCGTTTACATTGCTGCCTCACTGGGTCCCAGCTCTTATATCACAATGTCTATGCTTTCAGGCTTCTCCTACCACCTGCAATGCCTGGACCCTGTGCGTCCTTCCAAGCATTTTTATTATTTTTTTTTAAAGATTTTATTTATTTATTTGACAGAGAGATAGAGAGAGAACACAAGTAGGCAGAGGGAGAGGGAGAAGCAGGCTCCCCGCAGAGCAGGGAGCCCAATGTGGGACTCGATCCCAGGACCCTGGGACCATGACCTGAGCCGAAGGCAGCTGCTTAACCGACTGAGGCACCCAGGCGCCCCCAAGCATTTTTAAAGTACTTTTTTCCTCCTGATTTCAAAAGTAATGTGTGTTAAAAATCTGGGGAAAAAAAGAAAGGAAAGACGGTAGTTAGCACTTTCATCCCATCATCTAGAGATAATCACTTCCTATTTACACCCCTACTGAGTAGGCCAGTGCTGTGTCAAGGGTCCATCTGGACTCTTCGTGCCTTGCCCTGAGGCTATACTAGACTCACGTAACAGAACCGCAACTCACTGCCTACATACAGAATCACAAAGGTGGAATGGCCTTCTCTTTAGACTCTTCCTTGGTAGGCCTCTTAGCTTTCACACAAGAATGATAATCCAGTCCTCAATTTTCTGTTACGGCACCTGGGTCTGCATTCAGTGGACAGGTTCAAAGCAGTACTTGCCAAAGAGCACAGTCTCAAGTTCACTGTCATGCAGTTTTAGCAAAACATTAGTTAAAAGGTAAACATTAAGGGAACATTGCTTAAAGGATCTTTCTGCTGTTTCAGATAGTCTCTGGAATCTATTCCTGGTTCTAAATCTAAGTATTAGATTTAGATTATTAAATCCATTCCTGGTTCAAGGCAGAGAGCGAAAACTTGGGTATAAAGAGCATATTGTTTAACTTTCTTCCACATTTGTTTTCTGAATTGTGATTTGTGTTGAAATACACGAAACTCATGAAGCTCATTGGAGTATCTGTTGTCAGGATATTGTTAGACAATCACTGGATCATATAACGTCTTCTGAAGAACCCCAGGAAGAAACAGCTCCTATTTTCACTTTTAGCATTGGCTGCTGATATGAAACTTGAAAGCCAAAATTGGGGACCACCATAGCAAGCATAGATTAATACACTTTGCCTTTTTTCCCCCTTTGTTCCTGGATCCACTTTGTCTTGACGCTTTCTTCTGTTTTTCTTACTTTTAAGTTTATGCTTTTTTTTTTTTAAAGATTTTATTTATTTATTCATGAGAGAGAGAGGCAGAGGGAGAAGCAGGCTCCCAAGGAGCAGAGAGCCCGATGTGGGACTCGATCCCAGGACCCTGGGATCATGACCCGAGCCGAAGGCAGACGCTTAACGATCTGAGCCACCCAGGCGCCCCAAGTTTGTGCTATCTTACTGGATGTTATTAGTAAGTTTAAAGTGAGTTGTGAAAATGCCTCATCTTCCCCAAAATCCTACAAGATTTCCAGGCCCCACATCTTTTTTTTTTTTTTTTTCTATTTGTGGTACCACTCCACTTCTGATTTGTGGTACACAGAGTTTTATTTCCTACTGGCCACTTCAGAAAGAGAAAAATTAACTTTCTCTCATAATCTCATTGTGTTACTAGGTTTGAGATGCTTGATGCTGCAAAGAACAAGATCCGGGTGAAGGTCAGCTACGCGATGATTGCCCTGACAGTGGCAGGATGCATCTGGATGGTTATTGAGGGCAAGAAGGTGAGCATGGACTGCCTCTCTGTCTCTGTTTTCTACAAAGGATCTAAAGGAAATTAGGGGTTCAACCCTCATATTTATTCTCTTGAGAAGAGGGGGCTACTTTCTACATGAGAAATGATAAGAAACAAAATGAGACACAGCAGGGACAAACCTGGGATGTCATGCGTGGGCATAAATAGCAAATCCTAATTTTGGCAAGGTAAAGGACTAAATTAGTTTTGCATAAAGTAAAAAAAACTGTTTAGTTATCACAGATGTCATAAATAATGTGAAGCCAGAAAAGTGTCCCTGGTGTATTTAATGACGACACCAGCATGTCTGTAAAGCACTTCCAGTACATGGGCATATTTATCCACGCTCCAACTGCCTTAGCCCTGGTAAGCATGCTAGTCACTGTTCTGGATTTGAAGCTCAGCCACACTGGGCCATATGTGTAAGGACAATAGCTCCTAAACAAGTACAGAGGCAGTTAAGGCCAGAAATATTTGTTTTAACCTATATCATTATTAATAGCTATCATTAATTGAATACTCACTGTCTTCTAGGCACTTGGCTTCTCTTTCATTTGAACCTCACAATAGCATGACAAAATAGGTACTATTATTAGGACCTCATTTATAGATGAGGAAACATAGCTTAGAAAGCTCTGCTACTTTGCCCAAGGTCACACATCTCCTAAACGGCAGAGCCAGAGTTTGAACCTAGACCTAGTTGAGGTGATAGTAAAATTGCTCCCACTTATTAAGGGCTCATTATATAGCAGGCACTGTTAAACGCACCACAATATCCTAAGAACCTAAGCAGTAGGTTCTCTTATTATCCATACTTTATAAAAGAGGAACCTGAAGCTTAGAGATACTAAATCATTTTCCCAAAGTCACATACCTAGTAAGTGGCAGGATAAAAATTTAGAGCCAAGTTTGCAAGTTCCCAAACTCATATAATACTATCTTGTGATTAAAAGAGAGGGTTTTTTAAATATGCAGCAGCACTGGTCAAACACTTATTTTAATACCATGTCTAATTTTATATATCACAGCTACCATGTACAAAGAGATGTCTTACATCTATTATCAGATATTAAAAAGGTTCTTCTACCAACTCAGCAGTAACTGACTTCCCTTATCCCCAGTGAGTGCAGAGTAAAAGGAAATGAACTTCTGGCTCTCTTCAGACTTTTGGAGTGGAAAACACTGACCATTTAGACTGACCTTATGGGAGCACAAGTGTGCAGGACTGAGTGAAGTTCTTTTGACATCTTTTGACATCTCTGTTCTACCCCACTTCAGATTTTCTTCTGGTTTCCTCTTTGACTTCTCATGCTTAGTTCTCAGATTGAAACCTACAGAAGCATGTGGACAGGACATAGGGGCTTCTAGAATTCCAAGAAGTCTGCATTGCTTTTGTATACTTGATTATACTAAGCTGAGTATATTTATATATATTTATATATATTTATTTATACTATATATATACTATATATATATATACTATATAAGTATTTATACTAAGTCTAAATACTCTAGAAACAAGTTACCCCTTGGGATTTCTTCTAGCCTCATCTAAGGGTATACACCATGTACTTCAAGAGAGTTTCTCTCCTTTATATGCCAGAAAACCATCTCATTTGTTTTATGTGGAACTATCCATTTCTTACAAGTTGGTAAATGCTACTAGAATGAAGAACTTTTAGACTTACTGCTATTTGGAAGAGAAAATAAGCCATCATATTTTGTCCTCACCATCAACTTACCATTCCCATTCTCCTCTCCCTTCCCATACCTAATTTGTTACATGTGAAATTACACAGATATAAGAAAATCCCTCCTTATATATAGGGTGCTAGTTTATTTGGTATAGAACTTTTGAAACTGGTCTGCTTATATAAGCTTCACAGGCATGTAACAGGTCACATGGAGGGAAACAAGGGAAGAGGATGGTTGTCTCTCCCCCACTGCTGTTTGCTGTCAAAGGATGGAGTAGTGGGATAGATACTGCTGAGAGTCATCAATCACAGTATTTGGTAAAGTCTGGGATCCCCAAAGCTGAATATTTTTGGTAAAAGAGGAGTAAGGAGTTAGAAGGGTATGAAAGTATACAAATGAGTTGGGGAAGGAAAAATGGTAGCAACAAAGAAAAGTAAAAGGAAAAAAAGGATAGAAATGGAAACAAAAAGGTATTCAATACTAAAGAGAGGAAAAAGGAAAAGATAAGGGAAGAAGCTAGATTTAAAGAAACAGGCCAGAAAGAAAGAGAAGGTGGAGGGTGTGGCATTTCTCTCGTGCTTGACTGGATGGGCTACTGTAGGACTGTGAAGTTTTAGAGGAAGCAGAAGGCACACGGAGGGGGCTTCTGGGCTCAGTGTGCCCACGGCAGAGCATTCTGGGCCTGTGCTGCCCTAGTTAATCAGCTGACATCAGTGTAGGGTAATGACATTCTTCCCAAACCTGCATAAATAATCACTTGTTCAAATTTGTTTCACTTTAGGCTGTCAAAAGAAACGAGTCTTTAACAAGGCTGAACTTAGAAAAAAAAGCTCGCCTGAGAGAAGCAGCAGCTCTGAAAGCCAAAACAGAGTAGCAGAGGTATCCGTGTTGGCTGGATTTTGAAATTGCAGGAATAATGTTGCAGCAATTAGCCTGTATTAAAAAGAATACAGTATGAGGATCCATTTCATGAAAGTGTGGTTTGCACCGACTTATAATTTCCCCCATTTCTGATATAGTGGGACAAATAAATTTCCTTAAACGGCTTGTCTATATTTTTGTGGCTTGGATCCAGGTTAAATGCAGCCTTTCAGCTTTTTGGAGAAAATGAATGAAAAATGGGGCAACTTATTTAAACTTTAATATTAACTCTTCTTTTAGAGAGTCAGAAACCATATCTTATTTTAATTTCCATTGCCAAAGTGATTTTCTCTGCAGAAGCCAAAATGGCTTCTAGTTCTTTATTCCTCTCTCTTGTGTACTCATTTCTAGAGAGATAAGGAAGACCAGCTGAGTACACTGCCCAGGTGCATCTTGGAGAGCTAACCTCCCTAAATGCAGTGGTGCTTCTTGAGAGCCCTGCAAAGCAGCCCGATCAAACTCTGCCATCTTTGGGCATGCTGGCAGACAGAGGTTTCTCAGAGAGCAGTCTTGGAAAAGGTCCCTGTAAGGTGATGAGAGTGGTCTGGCCACAAGTTTCCGAGAACTCTGAAATCCCAGCACCATGAAGTTGCTTGGGGCCAGTAGTCACCTCTTTTACTCCATAGCTTAGAATTCCCAATTGGTCCTTTTCCTTTTACCTTTACCCTAAATTTCTCAATTATGAACATCTTTCAAATGCATTTTCTTGTAAGTTTTGAAAGATAAGCTTTTGCACATGGTTATGTATTTCATTTACACTTCGGGATGTCAAGCCGTCTCATATTTAGGTATGGATGCTGGTTTCTCTTTTAAGTGTTTCATATATTCTCACATGCCTCATATTAATGGATGACATGGACGACAAGTCCTCGTAGCCATCCCAACCTGCTAGTTTTCTCCAGAGGATTAGAACAGATAGTAATATATGCAGCTGCACTGGAACTTGATTTAATAAACTAAGTAAAATGGAATGCACCACATATAATTTCATAATCTGATGTTAATGATGTCTGTGAATATACTTTGAGTAATTTGACCTTAGCTTTTTAGATACCGAGTTCTTTGATTTTAATGTACTTCTTTAAAAAATAAGTAATTTTTCTTCATAGAACACTATCATTTTTAACTTCTAAAGGAGTATTTTAAAGTGTTATCTTGGAGATTTATTGTAAAAAAAAAAAATGTTTCATTAAACCAAAACTCACAAATGTTACCATGCAGCAAGAATTTTCATGATCATTTCTCATTTTGTGTCATTGTCCTGTTCAGTTACTTAGAGTAACTACCTCTTTATGGTTTAAATATAAATTTCTTGGCCAGAATTGTCTCTGTCTAATCCCAATTCTCCCACTACCCTCACATAATACCTTTTTGGCAGTCATCTTACTAATAACTCTAATACCTTATATTTCTCAGAACTTGTCAAGCAAATCGTATTTTTTTTTTTAAGATTTTATTTATTTATTTGACAGAGACAGAGATAGCGAGAGCAGAAACACAAGCAGCGGGAGTGGGAGAGGGAGAAGCAGGCTTCCCCCCGAGGAGGGAGCCCGATGTGGGACTTGATCCCAGGACCCTGGGATCATGACCTGAGCCGAAGGCAGACGCTTAACGACTGAGCCACCCAGGCGCCAAGCAAATCGTATTTAATGAGCACTGTTATACTAAAGAATACCAAAAACATAAGACAGTTTAGCCCTGTTACTTTCAATTATTGTTGTACTATTTTTTGCTTAATTTCTAGATTTTTTTTTTCATGTTTATCATGTCTCTGTAGGTAAAGTGGGCAGAAACCATTTTCCACTTTATATTTCCTATAAGCCCTGTCTGAACATAAAGTTAATACATGAGCCTATGGTCAGATACTTTTTTAATCAACAAAAGTAATAACAGTATGGGGACATGTCTCCAAATGTTTATTGAAAGAAGGCAAGGAATGAATAAAGTGGTGGTGGTATAATTCATTGTCATTCATCAAACATTACCTTAATCCCATATATATATATATAAATCCATTTATATATATATAAATACTGAGAATACAAAAATGAGTAAAACATACTTCTTTACAGAGCTCATAACTTACAGAAACATGGCCCATGAAACTGTTACAATACAAACTGGTAAAAGAATATTCTGAACTTTATATAACAGTAGCTATAGAAAGAAACAAAACCTAACTCAGCTGTCAGTTGTGGTTGGAGTCAGGCAGGCAGTGCTGGTCCACAAGTGGTGGTTTCTGAACTGAGTTTGAAGCATGGGTAGGAGTTACTAGGTCAGACACATAGTGAAAGAGAATAGCCTCACCATTTAGACATTTAGCTTGCTTGATAATCATGAGGCACAATCTGACCAGGATAGTGAGAAGTCCCTCAACAAAATGCCATTTATAATGTTTTGGTTTACTTTTAGTTTTTATCTCCATAAAAATCTTAAAATGTTTAACAGACCTAACCGTGACTTATTTTTCCCAATTTATAGACTTGATTCCACGGAACCATTTCATGTGTGAGTGGCATCTGCCATACATCTCCATTCCACCTAATCCCAGGCTTACGTTCTTAACTCATCTGATCTCCCAAACCGGGAACACGAGTTATTCCAAACTCCTGCTCCCTTCATTTAATCAGTCATCCTATCTTGTAAACCTTACTTCTAAATATTTCCCAAATACACTGAGAGGAACAGAATGGGAATCTGTTCAGGGATAGACATAGGAGTTAATACCAGACCTGAAGATTAAAAGTCAGAAGTCGTAGGTTCTAGACTTGCTTTTCCAATTGTCTTGCTTTGTAAATTTAGGTTATAGGTCTGAAATATTATAATCTAAGACAATGTTTTTTTTTGTTTTGTTTTGTTTTTAAAGATTTTATTTATTTATTTGTCAGAGAGAGAGAGAGAGTGTGTGAGCACAAGCAGGCTCCCTGCTGGGCAAGGAGCCCAATGTGGGACTCGATCCCAGGAGCCTGGGATCATGACCTGAGCCGAAGGCAGACACTTAACCGACTGAGCCACCCAGGCATTCCCCCCTCCCTTTTTTTTTAAGATTTTATTTATTTGTCAGAGAGAGAGAGAAACACAAAGTTAAAAAGAAATACAAAACCATACCAAAATTAAGAGAAACCATCTTTTTAAATACGCGGGTTTTTTTGTTTTGGGGGGTTTTTTGCCAGCTTGGCTCTACTACTTGATTTCTAAAGGGTTTAGTAGTTACTCTTCCACAGTTTAATTGTTTTGTCATTTCCTAATGCTGCTGATGCAATGATGTTTTCTGTAGGATGACAAGCTGCTGAGATTACAACATCTGTATGACCTTGTAATTTCTGTACAATCTCTTTAGTCTGAAGGTTCCAAATGTAAACCAGATTATCTTCTGAACCAGACACAATCCATTTGCCACCAGTAACTGAAAAATTGGCAAATATGCAGTATTTCTCATTCTTATGACCAGTGTAGGTTTTCAGGCATCTGCCTCTGCTATAATCCCACAGTTTAAGAGTATTGTCCAAAGTTGCAATTAGAAGATATCTTCCATTTGGAGAAAATTTTACAAAAGAGATAGGAAGGTTATCATCATCAACAAGTGTTTTTAAACACTGACCTGATGCAGCATCCCAAATTCTACAGACACCATCATAGCTACCTGACACAATCAAGGACCCGCTACAATTAAAATGAACAGCAGAAACTGGGTCAGAATGAGCAGACAAAGTCTTCAGGCACTTTCCTGTTTTCACCTCCCATATTTTCACACTCTCATCAAAAGATCCTGAAATGATGAGATTAGATGGTGGATTGAAATTACAGCAAAAAACATAATTACTATGCCCCTTCAGCGTTTTCAAACATTTTCCAGATCTCACATCCCAAATCTTCAGCGTTTTATCATCTGAGGCAGAAACAAGGCGACTGGAATCTGATGACCAGGCAACATCTGATATTTCCAGATTGTGACCATAAAGTGTTTTCTCATACTTTCCATCATAGGCTCCCCAAATTATAATTACTTTGTCAGCAGAAGAACTTGCTAGCCATTCTCCATTAGGACTAAACTTAACCGATGATATTGCATCCGTATGCCCCACGAGAGTAAATTTAAGAGCATAGTTTGGTTTTTCAGACGTTTGCTCGCTCCGATTGGCTGGTAAGGGGAGGCTCGACTCTGCTTTAGCATCTCCTGCCTCCTTTGTCGCCACGGTTCTGAAGCTCCAAGTCAGTAGGTTAGGTAAGCGTCCGGCCCTGAACCAGGCAGCCCAATATTCTGACTTTCTGCCCAGCAAAATGAAGATAAAAACATCAGACTCAAAAATAAACGGTCTTTTAGGGATTATAATTTCTGGGCTGTCTTTAAACTACCCTATACAACGATTCAGCAGCACGGCTTGGACCACTTCTCTTTTTTCTTTGCTTCCTCCTTCGTAAACAAATACTTGAGAAATAATACTAGAAGGGTCCAATGCGCTGTCGGCAAGGGAGGTATGTTTCGGGTATTTTGTGAAGGTATAAAGCCGTGCAAAGTGACGAGGGGCGTGGGTGATCTACAAAAAGTATTTTTTCACCGCCCCTCCCCCAACTCTGAAACATTTAGAACACTGAGCAAGCCTACCAGTCAGACAGACTTTCGGTACTTGAGCATGAATGAAACACCGCTTAAACAAACGATTTCAGGAAGTCAAAACAAAACAAAAACCTGCGCAGGCATCACGAATTGCGGTCCGGGTGGGCTGCCGTCCGCGGATAAACACTGGGGCGCAGCGCCGCGTCAATCCAACCCAGCTGGCAGGACGGCGGAGCGCATGTGCACTCCAACTTCGAGCCGACATGACCAATGGGAGAGGTCTGCCTGCGCTTGCGCAAAGGAAGGCGCCGGCGTTTCCTTCCGGTCTTCTTTGGCGGCGGTTGTCACCCACAAATGCTGGACTTCCTCCTTTTCCGTGTGGGTAGGTGTACTGGGCTTCTCCCAGACCTGACTGACTAGCGTCGGTAGCGGTGAATGTTTCAAAGAACATTCATTTCTTTTTGGAAACCGTGTCACGAGAAAGAACTGAATTTTCCGATTCCCTTAGTGGAAAGTTAAGCCCACATTTGGCACCTAGCTAGCCGTCCATCCCGGTGACTAAGCATCTGCTTCGCGGGCCTCTTTGGTTCTGCTCCTCTCTACTCTTGTGGTATAGAGCCTGGTGGCGTGTACTTAAGGCTGCAGGTAGGCAAGGGGAGCTTAGCCGAATTTACGCCCAGATTATAAAACTTCTGGTTTTAAGTTTTGCGTAAACGTTTCGGGAAGGAATGTGTTGTGGGCCTCCAAAAGCCCCTGCTTAGGACATGGTAGTGCCGTGGAAACGAGCAAACGTTCGTTTTAGCATTTCCTTATGCCTTAAACTTTCTAAGAGAAAAGGTCAGATCTGCATAGGTGCTTGAGACCGAAAAAGACCTAGAAGTTGGTGGAACGTGATTAAGAAATGTGTAAAGTTAACTTGTAATAGGCTTTAGAGAGTTTATAAAGTTTTAAGAAATGTTTAATGGGCCTGAGAGTGCTGTATAAAGATGTATGCTTTTCAGATTAAGTTACTATCTTTAAACAAGAATAGGTTTACCGGGGTGCCTTTCAGGCTCAGTCCCTAGATCATGCGGCTCTTGATCCTTTTGCTCTCCGAGTCTCGAGTTCAAGCCCCACCTTGGGCGTAGAGCTTACTTAAAAAAAAGTTTACCAAGGGGCGCCTGGGTGGCTCAGTCGTTAAGCGTCTGCCTTCGGCTCAGGTCATGATCCCAGGGTCCTGGGATCGAGCCCCGCATCGGGCTCCCTGCTCAGAGGGAAGCCTGCTTCTCCCTCTCCCACTCCCCCTGCTTGTGTTCCCTCTCTCGCTGTGTCTCTCTCTGTCAAATAAATAAAACCTTAAAAAAAAAAAAAAAGTTTACCAAAAAATTGGAAGCCTGATGAGTTTCTACTTACCTGTAATTGCTCAATAAAGAGAGCTCAAGTGTGTTTACAAGGTTTCCCCCCTCTCCGAGCTGAAGTCTAGAGGCAAGTATCTTGTTTTTCTTTTTTTTTTTTTAACGTAAGCTCGAGTCGCGTGCTCTACCACTTAGCCAGCCAGGCGCCCCGCGGCAAGTATCTCTTGATGTTTTCTGTCAGCCAACAGTTAAAAGCATTTGGAAACAAATTCCCCTATCCTGTATTTATTAGGGATGATTGAAAGTCTGGCCTTTAAGTGAGGCACGACATAATTAAATCACCTATAATAATAGACTGTAGTGGAAACGTCATTACCTTAAGACGCTACTACTCTAGTTTGGAATTTGGACAGGCATTGGACAAAAGCTTTAGTCTTAGCTAGTGCAAATTAATGGTGTAACGGTAACGTGGTGCTTGGAATAGGAAGAGCATCTTTTAAGTGGATTGGCACATCCATTTATATACATTAAATTAGGATGCTTCTTGGATATTTTTTAAGGCAAGGCCACCACGGACCTTCCCTCTGTAACATTTTAAAAAACTTTTCCCTTTTATGTATCTTAAAGTTCAGTTATGATAAACTCTGCCTCTTCTCTCTCCTTTCCTCCTATTAGCCTGAAATCGTATGTTTTTTACTGGGAAGCTTAGAAACACACTAAAACTCTGCATCAGTTGAGACTATTTTCATTTTTATTAACTCATTAAAAAAAAAAGCTATAGAGAACATAGTGTAGGCTTGTTCCAAAGATTTTAAGTAAATTTATATTTTTCCAATAACTTCTGTGCACTGAGTAAAGAAAGAAGAAATTAGACAAGGTAAATTTGACATGAGGGCTAGGATGGGGTGTTGGTGCTGGCGTATATTCTAATAACCCACTAGAAATACCACAAAAATCAGAGGGACAGGGGACACAGTCAAGAATGTCTTGATAGGGGGCGCCTCGCTGGCTCAGTAGAGTATGCCACTCTTGATCTCAGGGTGGTGAGTTCAAGCCCATTAGGGGTAGAGTTTACTTTAAAAAAAAAAAAAAAGTGATAGGAATATCCAGAAATAATTGTTCTTCAGATTTTCCCAGAATTTGAAGAAATTTCCACTATTAAAATCCATTTCTAGATGTCGGAATTTTTTGTTTACAAATAGCGTCAGGAATTTGTAAAGAAATTAAAGCTCTGAATATAACTAGGTAAATCTTTTTATTAATCATGTTCTAATATTAATATGTAGTCCTGATATTGTGTCCTTATGAATGAGGCCTAAGAATTTTGTAGTTTAGGTCCTTGGGAGGAGGAGAGCATCAGCAATGTGGAGTGTGAGTAGGGAATACTGATACAGGTAAATCCAAAGTGGCAGAAACCATAATTAGAGCTGTGCATTTGCTGCTCTCAAGCAAAATTCCTCATATGGTCCTGTTTTTAATGATTTCCATTTTTGCTGCTTAGTCTTTACCAGATAGGAGATTTGGAAGTTTCCCTCTCTGTAGAAATCAATTTGTTTTCTTTAGAGTTCCCATAAAAGTTTTAGAACTGAAGGTCTCCATGGTTAAAAGGTTGATTTCCCTTCCCCCCCCCAGTCAAGTTTGCAGATATGCTAAATAGAAATGCCACAAATAGGTCATTTTTAAAAATAGATATTTTTGGTATCTATGTCAGGACTGAGATTAAGTCCTATCTTAAGAAATGTCTTGACCGACTCCCTTCATAGCAATTCCTAAGCAATTCCAGTTGAGCAGTCTTCAAAAGTCAAGCACAATAGAACTGTGTACAGTTGCTTAGGACCACTAGCAATTTAAATCTATTAAAATCTAGTTGGACTAAATATGTAGTGGCCCAGAATTTATCTAAACTGAGACCTTTTTCAAAGTGAAAGGGGACACAAATAATCAGCTGTTAATTGATCTAAAACCTGGGACTATACCTAGCAAACCAGTATAATCACTGACTTCTGGAGGACTGTCATAAATCACCACTTAATTTTGGAAAATTCTACACTGTTTATATGGTAACACCCCAGCCTGCCCACATCTCTCTCAAACCCTGTGCTTTTCTTTCCCCACCACTCTGGTCTCCTGGGTTTCTGTTTTCTCCTCATCCATCATTCTAAATAATGCTGGGCCGAAGTGGTTTAGATAAGGCAATGATCCAAACTGGATTCCCACAGGCTTCCTCAGGTTAAATGGGTATAAAGGAATTTAGAGTAATTTTATTCTCTGCAGAAACATTCAAGATCACAGATATTACCATATATTGATTTTAAAACGAGAACAGACTTTTTCAAATTGGCAAATGAAATAAGGGGCAACAGTCACCTACACTAGCTTTAATAAATTTGTAAACTCAGCCATTTGTACTATAGATGACAGTGTAGTCTGCAGGAACTAATTACATTTTGATTTAAGATTCTGTTTTCAGAAAAAAATACCTGGCCAGTAGAATCTCTCAGCAAGACATTTAGTAGTAAAAATGAAAAAAGAACAAACACCCTATTTAATAGCCTAAGGCAACCACCAGCTTCCATGTAAGTTGGATGCAATTGGCAAAAAAGTTATTTTTCTTAACTTTAGGTCAGAAGAGATTAATGTGCTATTTTTGGTAATACAAACACATGGGGTTGATTATACATATGTTATCCTGTAAAATATATCCATAACTTTTCACAGAAGGCATAGGGTTTTTTGTTTTTATATAATGAATGGCTATAACAATGCTTTTGTAAACTTCAGGTCAGATCATGTCCTCCTGAAAGGTAACCACATATAAAACATACATTGAGACACTAAGTCTAAGAGTTGTTAATTCCTGGTTTCAAACAGCAGCATAAAAAAATTCCTTTGAATTTTCTTTTGTAACCAAGTACCCTTTACTAATATCACATCGATGCATATTCCTTCAGTCATTTAGTATTTATTGAATAGTCTACTATGTGCAAGGCACTCACCCATGGCCTGACAGACCACATTCAAGTACAAAGAATCATCAGATCCATTCCAAATCAAAGCGTAAGAACACTTTGAAAAACAACATATAGTGGTCATAATGATGAAGTAAGCAGAACATAACAACATACATTAAAAGGTGATCTTTCTAACTTTTGATACTCCTTGGGACGATACTCCTTTAGGAAGTCAGCTGTGTTAAATTCACGTCCATGGATGGCACTGCTTTCTAAGGCAGAATTCTTCATTCCAAAGCCTTCTCTGTCAGTAGCTTCTACATTTAAGTTTGTTGAATGGAAACATGTTTCTGAGTTTACCCATTATGCTAATGAACTCAAAATCAATCATTTGCATATATATTTTTTGACTTCTGTTGTTTTGTCAGGTCATATACAGAATGTTAGCACCACAGAAGGGAAAAAGAAGTTTGGGCTGAGAGGCTCTACATTACCAAAATATGTAACCTAAAAGCATACCTTAGTTATTTTAAGGGTGCTCATGAGAAAGAGCCAGAAAGACTGGTCTGACAAAAAGGTGGTCCAGCTGGGACAGTTGTGTAAGTCTAGTTCTGGGAGTTCCTGGCCCAGAACACCACCTCCACCGTGACCTCTGCTTTCTTCCAGACACAACCTGCACAGCTCTGTCCGTACTAGACAGTGTATGAGGTTGTGACCTTGGGGTAAAGTAAATTCTCCTAAGTCTTGATTCTGTCACCTATATCATAATGTCAGTTATCTATCTCAAAGAGCAGTTGGAGGATTAAAAGAGAAAAAACGGAAGCCCTTCCCCAGGCACCTGGCACACAACAGAGGCTCAAAGACTAGTTGCCTTTTTGACCTGAAGGGAAAACAGACTGGGACTTCTTTTTTCCTACTCTCAGTTGAAAGCAAAACTTCATCTACCCTTAATCTTTTCTTCTTGCCCCAGACTTCCAAATTTTATACCCAGTAGCAACTTGATATTTTTAAAATTAGCATATAATACTTGCTTTACTTCATCAAACATTTTTGTGATGTCCTGGTACTGTTACTACCTATCCTTTTCTGACAAGAAAGCATATTATAGAATACTGTCTATATTAGAGCAGACTTACTGTACTGGTGTCCCATCTGGCTTTCACTTACTTGAACTTTAAAAAAAATAATTTTTTTTTTTTTTTTTTTTTTTAAGGAATCTCTATTCCCAACATGGGGCTCGAACTCATGACCCTAAGATCAAGAGTTTCATGCTCTACTGACTGAGCCAGCCAGGCGCCCCATGAGAAAGCAAATTTTTTTTTCTTTTTAATTTTTAAATTTTTGTTTAAATTTTTTTTTTTTTTAGGAGGCTCCACGCCCAGCGTGGGGTTTGAACTCACGACCCTGGGATCAGGAGTCACATGCTTTACCCACTGAGCCAGCCAGGTGCTCGGTAACTTTAACTTTTGATAGAGAAAGGTAGCCAAAAATATTTCCCAGCATGGCAGATACGTATTTACTCTGCTCAACTAACAACAGATGAAAGTGGCTCTGTTAATTTCAGATGGCAAAAAATTCAGATTTGAGACTTCATATATAGATAGATAGGTATACCTATTTCTCAAATGAGCTAATTTTGGAATGTAGGAGGTAGAACATAGTATATAAATATGAAAAGCAAACAATGCCCCTTTCTAAAAGTAGATCCCTTTTCTTTACTGAAAAACATCCTTACACATTAAGATTTCCTATAATGAAAAGCCCCAAGCCCTAAAACATCAATATGCAATGACTTGCCTACTGATAGAAAAAATGTTCACAAAACTAATCAGCAAGAAAGAAAAATCTTTCAACTTGAGGAAAACCCTTTCATAATGCAACCCCAAACTGGGAGATTATAAATAACTGAAATGTTTGTTTAGCACTAGAGAAGTAAATTCAAAGTTGCCTGTGAGTGGCCAGGTACAACAGGATTTAATTGACAATAGTTTGGTTTCTAAAATATATTACATATTTTTTCTCAGGCAAAATCAGCAACAATCTGCAATAATAATTCAAATTTATTATGGGGTAATTGTCATTGCTTATATTTGTGACGATATGAAAAAATGGCCCAGAGCCCATTTAGCTTTATCTGGCAGATGGAAGAAACAATCCTAGGGCAATAGTTTTCAAAAACAGTATAGCTGACAAAGGTTTAAAAGGGCCCTTACTTAGTGACAAGAACATGAATTAAAGTGTTCCACAGACAACTCCTTAATCTGTTTTCCTTTCCTGGTTTTTCTCAATCTAACCATATCTACCCTGCTGGTCCTTCAAATATAGGTGCCTTTATATCCTAAATGCTTTCAATGCTTTTTTTTCCCCACCTAAGTTTTCACTGAATATACTTTGAAAGTGCAGAGGAGGAAAAAGGGGGGGGGGGGGTGGATAATCAAGCTACTGGTTAGTATATATTGCAGGAGAGTTTTCCTGTGTTGAAATTAACATGCTTTTGTAATGAGTAACATCTTAGTGATAGGGTTGCAATAAATTCAATGTAAATTAATAGAATCTGCCAGGCAGAGAACTAAAATGAGGACTTAGTTACCTCCTGAAGTCTCATTCATTTCTATAACCAAAAAGGCTGCTTTTTCAGTTCCAACAGTTATGCTGGGATTTAACTTTTAGTTAATTCCAATTTTTATATTAAGAACATTTTATTGCAAAAAAAATTTAGCTCATCTCTCATGAACTTCCAAGACAGGAGCAAGATAAATTCCTGTTTACAACAGAAAATGGACCATAGCAGTTAAATGGACTTTGTTTAATTCATTCACTGAGACACCTGCAATTGCAAAACTCCCAGTGTATGCTCTTCTTACTAACCTGGAGAAACAACTTTGTGTGCTTTATCCTTTTTCCATTCAAATTGGTTTATCAAAAATGAATTGAAATTTTTAAAATTATCCAATAGAAGGTACATAATTTAAAACATCCTAGAGAAATGACGTGTTACCAGTGATGTACAGGTTAAAAAAATCCAGCCACAAAAAAAGTCAAAGCTAAAAACAAGATTTTTACTATGAATCAGTGCTTCTATTACCCTTCTGAAAGAAGTTATATTTTAATGTGATGTAAAGGCAAAACTGAAAGTTTTTCTTTAAATTAACCACCTAATTTGTCCCTAAAATTACAAAGAATCAAAGTCTTTTACAGGTCAAGTGCAGTAAACTAAAATGTCCTTTCAGCACAAAGCAGCACTAGAAAAAGTTATAGATGGGAGTTGACTAGTTTTGCAGTGGCTGCTCCATCAGTAACAGACAGACATCAGACGGTATCCATCCAGAGCACAGACACAACTACAGACTAGATGCGAAGAATGTGTCACACACTTGGCTGCTAAATGTCCTTTGTCTTTGTATCTTTCTACTTTGAATGAAGTGGATTTTTTTTAAGTTTAAATCAGGTCACGTAAGTTGGCTGTTTAAATAACAACATGATGAGGTATGAAAGCTCTGAATATCCCTAACATTCAGCAGGATTTACCAGAGATGTATAATAACCTGTCAGGGGACTTCCATATAGTTACATTTTGGGGTTATAATGAATTCTAGAAGAGGACAAGATTAAAGAGGTTTAAAAGGGTATTCTCTGAAACAGAAGTGAGCGACTTTTCCTTCAGAATTCATTTTGAACAGCATATCAACAAAAAAATCTTCTCTGATAGTGTGTCCCAACATTGAGTCAAGATGGCCAACTAGCACCAAGAAGTCATATTGAACTCAGTTGCAGTTCTCTTGGCAATTAAGCTTATATTTTCATTCCAGTCCAAGCACAAATGTGGATCACTGAAGACAGTACTGGAAGCGCCATTTGCAGGTACATTGCGGTTATCATTAAATGAGCCAGAAGATAGAAACTTTTTATTTTATGGGTGGACTTGACTGGGCAGTACTAGTAGATGAAATGAAATGATTAGGGAACAATGAGGTTATATTAAAAAAAAAAAAAAATCCCTGCCCTTATTTGGGTTGAATAGGTCATGTTGAGAAGATGATTATTTGTTTAAGATAAGGATGCTACATTAAAAGGATCATATATGCAGCATGAATACATTAGAATCAAGCTGCACCGGGCTAAGAAAAAAAAAGTTTCCCTAAGTAACCTTTAAAAGTATGTGTTATCTGCCAGTCACAGAGGGGAAAAGCACCTAGGGTGAACTCCAATTTAATGAGGACCTTGATCAGGACCACAAAGCCTGAAACATTTGTTTTAATGCAGAAACACAGCCTCTAGTCACACTGGTTGAGTCTGGGAAAATTGGAGGGATTTTTTGTTTTTTGTTTTTTTTTTACTTTTTTATTGAAGTACAGGATATTGTTTCGATTACTAAGGATTCTAACTCTTCATACCAGCATTAGAATCGAACCACTTCCAAATCCTAAGACACATAAGACCAAAGAGAAGCAATAGCCATACAAATTAATGTGCCCCTCTCCTTGCTGCTCTAAGGGAATCTTCAAACCAGTATCACATTTAAGAGTCAAAGTGTTAATTCTTCAGCATTCCTGACAACTAGAAAGCACATTCACTGAAGGCTGAAGGTGAGGGAGCGGATGGTTTAACTTTAGTATCTGTGAAGAATGGCGCCAATAGAGGAAAGAAAACCATCCAGTCTCAGTAAGGATTAATGCAGATTTGGCTAGAAAAGCCACCAGGTAATCCAAGGGTTCACTGTGGAAGAACTCATGAAAAGTACTCTGAAGTGTACACAACAGGTCTAAACATCTCCCTTGTTGCAAGTAGTTGTGTGAAATTCAAGATAAAGGTTTAGTCTCATCTTTTAATATCAGTGTTTTCCCCCACTTTAAAGGGAATGAGGAGTCCTCTTTTTCCCCCACAAAGAAAGGGAGCCACATTAATATGTGTATAATCCCATGACTCTTATGTAAGTGCGGATCTCCAAAGCCTAGGGATTTTCCATAAGAGTGGGCCGTTCTGGTTACCCTTTTTATTAGAAGGGTCTTCCACCACAGAGAGCCAGAGGTTTTCCAGATGTGTGTAAGAGAGCAGGTGCGCAAGGCAAGCAAATGAGCGCAAACAGTATTATGGAAAACATTTGAGAAGTTAGCTCCATGAGGACTGTGGGCTCCACAAGAGGACTTGACTGGGCAGCCTGGTCTGACACAGGAACATGAAAGCAGAGTATTGCCTCAAAGCTGGAAACCCTCCATAGGAGCCTCACACTGCTGGAAGATGTACTGCTGCTGGCTAAGGTCGACCTGGGGCGCAATGCTGCTGTCCTCATCCTCGGTCCCGAAGTAATGCTCGATAAGATCAAAGGCCTTCTGGTAGATCTCCTGGTTTTCATGACTCTGTAAGAACTCAATTTTATCCAGACCTAGAACGAAGAATAAAGAAAAATCTGTGTGTATGTGTGTGTGTACATATGTATTGTTTGTATCTGCTGGAAATGAAACTGTATTTTGCCATGTCTCCTCATTGTAAAGGAAGATTTTCTTCTCTACTTATATCTCGTCGGTATTTTGTAACAGCATAGAAAGTATCACCGGGATGACATCTGAATGCCAGTACTACACACTGACATCGTAAACACACGCAGGCAACAACCAGTCCCCAGAAGCAGCAATTTCCCTAACAGTCTTCACACATCATCCAGTGGCTAAGGCCAGCAGCAGAAGTGTTCCTTTTGAACTCTATCTGTGACCTAACGAATTCTTGGCTCCGGTTCTATCAACTAAGTTCTGAGCTATCCAATATGTCAACAGATGTATATAATACCCTTAAAAGAGGCAGAATCAATTTCTACTGCTTAAACTAAGAAGTCCAACTAGAACAATTAGCCAACACAGTCCCTTTACTAAGTTTGAGCCCATCTGAGCTAGGCTTTTCTTTTACTTGCAGCCATAAGCAACCTAACTGCTACAGCAATACCGGAAATAAATGTTAATATTGCTCAAAGGAAAAAAAATACATATTCATATACATCGCCATGTTAAAATATACATACATCAAAAAAAATTAACAGTAGTTATTTCTGTGGAGGAATATCTCCAGGTAGAGGAACATTTTTCTTTTTTATGCATTTCAAAATGTCTTATACTAAGCAGGTATAGCTTTTATAATTTTTTTTTAATGGTAAATTGTTAAAATCATTTTGGAAAGCAGTTCTGCATTATCTGATAAACTGGAAGATGAACAAACCCTATGATCCCTAATTCCAGTCTTAGGAATAAACAAACCCTAGAGTAGTGGTTTTCAACCCTGACTATGCATTAAAATCACAGAGGGAACTAAAATGTACATTGGTAAACCAATGATTAAGAGTACCGTTAACCCTGAGATTGGAAGAATGAAGAAACCAAATAGTGACTCTTCAAAATGAGAACTCTAAATCTTAAAGAAAAGGAGTAGAATCTGGCATCATCTATAGTAGATGCAAATGTTCTTGAGGCTCAGATGGACTAGTAAGAATACAAGAGCACCCACAAGGGCAAGCAGGGTCCAGGAACTAGGAAGATCTTTACAGCCCGGTGTAAAAATAGCTAAATTGAAGGGTACTCACTTCTCTTCACAATTAATGCATATTTTTTTCTAATAATTCTACCTACTAAACATTATTATTCATAAGAGAACAAGTTTTTCATATGAGTTTGTGCTCACTGATATATGGACAAGTCAGAAAAGCAAGAAGAAAAATATAATTTCAGGACACCTATTAAACACTCTATCTTACCATATGCTTCTTCAATCAAAGCGCAGTAAGGGTTAATGCCAGTGCCATTCCTTTTGGCTTCTTGTTCTCCAAGCCTCAGGATATTTTCCAAGCCATTTAGGGCAACCTGTACAATCTTAGAGTCCATGACTGTAAGGAGATCACAAAGTGGCTTGATACAACCGAGTTCTACGAGGTACCTAAATACAAAGAACAATTTAGTCAAAGCTTTCAATTTCATAAAACTTTTATAAAACAAGTGGGTCATCCTCAAACTGTAGAGATAAAAATGAGCACCCATTCAGCCATATAGGCTACATCTTACCACAAAGCTACAAATAAATGAAACAAAACCACTTCTCTAACACCATCTCCATTTTTCCTCCTCCACAACTCCTGCACTCCAAAACACTGAATACCCTCTTACTCTGAATATGAGCAACTCATCAAAACAGTGTAATTTTGGCTAATTTCATCTTTGTTTCTGTAGAACCACACCTCTGAAACAGGTGCTAAAGCCACCATAGGCCCAACAGGCCAATTCTATTTTGTACAAAGATCTCTTAAAACTCCAAGAAAACAATTTTTTTTTTTTAAGATTTTTATTTATTTATTTGAGAGAGAGAGCACATGAGAGGGGGGAGGGTTGGGAGGGTCAGAGGGAGAAGCAGACTCCCCGCCGAGCAGGGAGCTTGATGCGGGACTCGATCCAGGGACTCCAGGATCATGACCTGAGCCAAAGGCAGCCGCCTAACCAACTGAGCCACCCACACGCCCAAGAAAACAATTTAAAAATGGGCAAAAGATCTGAACATACCTTTCACCAAAGATCTGATGGCAAATTAAGTAAGAAAAGATGCTCAACATCATTAATATATGTCATCAGGGGACTGCAAATTAAAACAATGATGCCACACCTATTAAAATGGCTAAAATGCAAAACAACTTGACAATACCAAATGCTGACAAGAATGAGGGGCAATAGGAACTCTCATTTTTTTGCTGGTGGGAATGCAACATAGGAACTTTGGAAGACGGCTTGGCAACTTTTTACAAAGCGTTCTGTACAATCCAGCAATCACACTGTGGACACTCACCCAATTGAGATGAAAACTTAGGTCCACACCAAAACCTATACACACACATTTATAGCAGCTTTATTCGTAACTGCCAAAAAGCCAGAAGCAACCAAGATGTTCTTAAATAGGCAAATGGATAAACAAACTGTAGTATATCCAGACAATGGACTATTATTCAGTGATAAAAAGAAATGCACTATTCAAGCCATGAAAAGACATGAAGGAAACTTAGACATGCTAAGTCAAAGAAGCCAGTCTGAAAAGACTCCAGACTATATGATTCCAAACATGACATCCTGGAAAAGACAAAACTTTTATAAAGACACTAAAAAGTGGGGTGCCTGGCTGGCTCAGTTTGTTAAACGTCTGACTCTTGATTTCAGCTCAGGTTATGATCTCAGGGTTGTCCTGGGCATAGAACCTGCTTAAGATTTTCTCTCTCCCTCACCCCTTGCCCCTCTCCCCTATCCCTTAAAGAAAAAAAAAAGACAATAAAAAGTATAGTGGTTGCCAGGGATTTGAGGGGTGGGTGGGGGTAGAGGGGTACTGAGGAATAGGTGAAGCAGAGGGGATTTTTTTAGGGCAGTAGAACTATTCTGTATGACACTACAATGGTAGAAATAGAACATGCATTCACCAATACCTATAGAATTATACAACACAAAAAGCTTTCAGCTCAGATCATGATCTCAGGATCCTGGGATCAAGCCCCGCATTGGGCTCCGCACTCAGTGGGGAGTCTGCTTCTCTGCCCCTCTCTACCTCTGCCCCTCCCCTCACTCGCACTCTCTCTCTCAAATAAATAAATCTTTTAAAAAACAAAAACCAAGCTTCTTTTACGATTACAAATGTTAGTTGCAAATCTGAAAAACAGAAAAGCATGAAGAAAAAGTACACAGAGATTAACCACCACTATTATACCCCACTATTGCTTCCTCTGTGTCCTAATTTTTATGAAGGGTACCCACCTACCATTTTCGCCAGTTACCTTTGACTCTTCCCTTTCCTTCCCTCCCTACTTAAAGCCTGCCAGCAAGTCCTACAGATCCTTTCTTCTTGTATTGAGATCCGTATCTCATGCTACAGCTATTAATCCTGGCTGTACACTATTACAGCGGCATCTTAATTGCTCCTTCCTCTTCAAAATACTATGTTCTTCATTAATACTCTCAAGGCCAAAGATACTGAGTCTTCCCATTAAGACTAAGGCCTTCATCCCAGCTTCCAAAGCCCATCAATTACTTAATTCCTCATCTTGCAAAAGAATAATCTATAGCAGGGGATGCCTGGGTGGCTCACTGGTTGAGCGTCTGCCTTCAGCTCCGGTGATGATCTCAGGGTCCTGGGATCAAGCCCCACTGTCAGGCTCTTCACTCAGCAGGGCATCTGCTTCTCCCTGTCCCTATCTGTCTGTGATATCTCTCTCTCTCTCTCAAATAATAAAAATAAGATCTTAAAAAAAAAAAATAACATATAGCAATACTGATTTGCCTCTTCCAATAACATTACCTGTGCACATTCCCTCACACTTCCCCTCATGCTATTTGCTCTCCTCCAAAATAACCAAATCTCTACCCAAATGGCAAGTTTCATCTCTTCCATAAACTTTCTCTAATTCAAGGGAATATTCTTTATCCCTCATTCCTAAGAAACTATATATTAGCATTTGATTATATTTAACCTAAAATTATGGATATTTCCTAAGTTACTCTACTTGGTTCTTGCATCTAAATCTTGTCTACTCAGTAAGAATAAGCAAAACCACACAGATGTATTTTATCAGTGATAAAGTCAGTATATTTTCTGTAATTTGGACTGTAATATTTTTGTAATAGTTTTTCAAGATAATTCCATCTGGTTGAGAAGAAACTGCCAGAATGATAATGAACTTCATTAATATAAACAGCTATGCTGAATTTTAAAAAGGAATAGTAAATAGCCTTTACACTCTTCTTTAACAGAGCAAAATACCCCTGAATACTTTCTGATGAAATCTACCACAGTATTTTAGAAATGTTTTAAAAATATGTGTACAGTTTAACCATTTCAACTATGAAACCATATTATAACTTCTACATTACTTCTTACTGCTACCATTACTGGGATAAATGCTGTTACCCGTGGTGGCATACTTATAATCATAGTACCCCAGAACCAGAATCTTGGGAGGTTGAAAAAGACCTTAACCTCATAAAAAGTGCTTCTGAAGACCACTTGCAATCTTCCTTGAAAACCTGTCACTGATGAACTTTACCAAAATAGTTATATGCAGTATTAATCTATTTTATTATTTTAGGTACAGTTATCTTCTGTACCTAATCAACTTCGGAAATGTTAGGACTACCTTTTACATTTTTAAACTTCTAACAGAGCACTAAAAATTAGTATTGGTTAATTAGTGCCAACATTCAACCCACAAGGCAACAATATGAGAAGCAGTTGTATTTTTCTGACAGTATATATAAGGGCAGGGTTACAACTTCAACACTCATTTAGAAATATCTTCCTCTCATCTGAATTTCCCATAGAGAAAGTTAAGGCAGGCTAAGAAGAGTCTAGGTTCCATTTTTCTCTTCATCATTAATCTTTTTTTAATCTGAAATACTGAATGTCCATAATTTAGCATTTAATTGTATGATGTCTTCTTTTAGGAATTGATTCCTGTCCGTATATATGCCTTCTCTAGCCACTGAGATTATAAGCCACCCAAGGGGCCATTTAAGTCTCAAGCTAATACAACTCTCTCCCTTTACTGAACATTACAGGACTTCAGGAGACACTGCCTCTAGTGAATTTTTCATTTTATTCTCAGATATACCTCTCTTTCAAAGTCTGATCCAAATCTTTTTAAGACATCTAAACTAAAAATAGCAAGTTAGATACCAAAGTTGGACTCTAAGGATTCTACTAGTAACCTTCTAGACTACCTAAGATTGTTCTGACCAGAAAGCTCCAGAGTAGACTAAAGCCACCCTATAAATACTTCCATTCTCTCAAACCTCAACTATGCCTTACTTCTATTATCCTGGAATTATTTCAGCAAGAAGGAATGGGAGAAAAATTAAATATACATTTGAGTCTAGTTATGAAACTCAGAACAATCTTCCAAGAGGTTAGAATTGAGCATTCATAACTAGTAGACATAATTTTTCCTTTAATTTACAAGATGCTACCTGGCTAGTACTTACTTGATCTGTTCAGCTGATCCTCCAGAAGTTGCATTTGTGATGGCCCAAGCTGCTTCTTTCCTTGTCCGAAACTCAGCGGTTTGTAATATACTAATGAGGGCTGGGAAAATGTTGGCATCTATCACAGTCTGAAATTAAATCAAAAATTAAATGAAAAGGGAAATTACAAAATTTGTAAAAATGTTCATGATACTAATTATAACTTTTTAGCTAGCTTCACTAATGACACCCCTCTGCCTGTTAAAAATTAACTGGAAGGAGTTTAAGTCCTCTTACCCATAACCTTTCAACTATACTTGGTATCACTGGTAATACTCTCTCTGGAGTCTGGGATCTTATAATCTCTTAGTTTTTTCCCCGAGTTCTTTTCTGATTGTCCTCTCTTGTTCCACCCACAGTAACAAATTACAAAAGTTCAATTTTCTGTTCCTCTGCTACTCTCATTTCTTTCACAGCATCCAACTCTGACACGTGTGTTGTAACCCTCCAGCCCTCACTTTTGGGTGCTCCAGCCCAAGGTGGCCAACAGCTTGCTTCAGATCTGCTAACCACTTCAAACATCATCCACCCTCTCTATATCAGGTGTCTTCTCAAACCTCTATTTTTGTATTTATAAAGGCTCTTTTTGTATTTACTTATTCTAAATTTTATCAGTCACTAAGTCTCCTTCTTTATATTCTCAATTTAAAACATCAGGAGCCACCTTTTCCTTCCCTTTTAGCACTGCCGCAATCCTATTCCAACCTACCACTTCCCACCCAGATTACCAGCATAGCCTGTAGTTGGACAGAGTACTTTTACTCACTCTCCCCTCATATATGAACACTGAAAGTCTGCCTCAAATTACTTCTCTCATTTTTCTCCTAAGCTCAAAAACCTAAAATAGGTTCATATCATTTCCTCTACCAAGAAACTGAGAAATTCTATGTAAGAGCCTGATAGTAGCAGGCAATCAACTATAGCTGAAATCACCTCATATGAACTGCTATAGCTATCAATCTCAGTCCCTGGCAGCATTCTGGGGATGACTAACCATGCTCTTTTTGTTTTGTTTCAAGTTTTTATTTAAATTCTAGTTAATTAACATACAGTGTAATATTGGTTTCAAGAGTTGAATTTAGTGATTCATCAACCATGCTTTCCTGATCAAGAACTCTATTATACCAGTGAAGGAAGTCAGCAAAGTTTAGCAGAAAAATACTTCATCTTGATCCTGTCATTTACTAGGGGTGCCCTTGAGCAAATCACTTTCTCTGATACTCAGTTTCATCCTTAAATGAGAATACTGGATGAGATAACCTCTATGATTCCACTCAGCTCAAAGTCCCATAGGTCTGTGTTTTATCTTTTATAATGTTTAGCCTTTCTCATGGTCAATGTGAACCCGTTTCAGCCCACTGCTTGCTTTATCTTCCACTTGGGTTACTCTCCCACCTAATGTAAGAATAAAATTAAAAGGCAGATAACCATTTAGAGAAAAATGGGTCCCCAAAGGTTTTATAAAAAATTGAAGTTATCTAATACATGGGGCCACTAGAAAAAAAAAATATCTTACTTGGCAAGAGTAAAGCCAATCTGTTTAGTATAAAGATCACCAAAACATTTCGAAAATATAAGACACTATCTCTTGGGTCTTGGCAAATCATCAAATATTAAAGGCAAAGGGAAAAACCAAGACCAAAGTTTAAGTTTCAAAAGTCTGAACTTCTGTAAGGTAGGTTTAAAAAAATAAATAAATAAGTAAACAAGACAACAATGCTGGAAGTTAATGGTCTCCAAGATAATAACGAAAAAAAACTTTAAGGCTAATTGAAAAAAAGCTAAAACTTATCAATAAAAATAGAAAAAGACAGATGCTATGGGATTACCTGAATCTGTGCTCTATTTCCAGCTGTGATATTAGATATTGTCCAACATGCTTCCTTTTTGATAGATTCCTTTGGGCTACTCAGCAAATGCAATAAACTCTGCAGAGCTGAGCAATTCAAAATTACCTAAAAGGAAAAGTTTGAAACTTATTCTCTACTGATCCAAACAGAAGTAAATCTTTAACTCATTTATTTTCGGAACAATATAAGCAAAGAAATAATGTCTCCCCTTGAAATTTTAGAAATAACTTTATATATGTAAAAAAGTATTCAGTGCCAATAAGAATTAGTTTCTAAGATTATCAAAGCAGTTTTGTTATACACATTACAATTGTACAACTGCTGCTTCTTAAGGCATAATAATGTATTAGTCCTTCACCTTCCTATCCCTTACAGGAATTAAAAAGTCTTTTGGATGGGTAAATAGATCAAGTGGCCAGAAATTCAGAAGTGGTCTCAGATTTTTAAGTCTTCTGATAACACTCTACCTGGTAGTCAGCAAATACCTACTTAATGAAGTACACCAACTGCTTTAGAGGACACAAAGATAAAAAGAATATGTCCCCAGCTATCAAACAGCTTACAAAGGTGAGGGAGAGTAAGACAAATACATATGAAGCAGATCTAGCCTACCAAAACTAAACTCCTAAGTTATAATGACTGAAATAATATGTGGTGGGCTCAAGAATCAATCACTGAATAACAGAATAGATACCTAGTCCAGAAACAAGCACAGGTATTTATGAGGAATTAAATATATAATAAAGTTCCTCCAGAGGTTAACTAGTTGAAAAACATTTTTTATTTTTGAAAAGTATTTTTTAAAAAATTCTTAACCCATTACCAAAATAAAGACTAAATATACAAACACACCATAAAACAGAAGAAAATATCAGTAAATAGCTGGTTTGGGGATAGGGAGGGACTTTCCAAGCATAAAAAGAATGGAAGAAATTACAGGGAAAAAATAAAATTTCATCAAATAGAAATATCTGCATGTCAATTAAAATACATACTACATAATGTAAAAAAAATTGCAACAGATAAGAGGGTTGCTGTCTTTAATATGTAAATTGTTAAAAGAAACTACAATTTTAATAGATTACCTACCTCACAATAAAAGAAATGCAAATTAAGTAAGTCATTTCTGCCTATTTAATTCAGCTCAAAAAATAATAAAACGTGGTTAAAGAAGCACAATCTTAACAGTATAAAAGATACTACAGAGCAATTTTTTAAATGCCAAAGATGTGATCTAGAAAATAAACATGCCAAAAAATAATAAAAAAATAAACCTGTCACAAGTTAAAGACAATACTTGTGGAGTAGTGAGGAAAAAAAGACTTTGTGGGGGTGGAGGGAATGCCTTGAAACACGGATAGGATTTCATAAGCAAAGAAGGAGGAGGACACAACAGATAAGAAAGGCTGGAAATGAAAAAGTGCTGAGACAAGCTACCACAAAGTACCAAAATAAGGAAAGAACAGAGCAGTGAGGCTTATTAAGGAAGAGTTCTATAACCCTGAAATTAACAGTAAGCTACAAGAAAGAATGAGACTAAAATCCTGAAGTACAAATTTCTTAGTCTTTCAAGATTCTTTATCTCATAGTCATTAAAAAAGTTCACTGTTTCTGAAAGGAAGGTAATGTGAACAAGGTTGTTTTAGGAAAGATTAAGCTGTTACTAGGAAGAGTCAACTGAGGGGTAAATGCTGGGGAGAAGAGGAAGATAAATGAGGTAACGACCCTTGTGTGTGACCCTTGTGTGTGAGAAAACATGGACCAAACTAAGGTAATTAGATGAGGATACTGAAACACTAAGAATCAACAAGAGTTGGTGACTTTGCTATACAAGATGTGAGAGATGGAGGCACCAAATATGACTGCAAAGTTTTGGGGGTGTGGGTGAATAGTTACCTCATTAATTGAAATGAAAAAAAAAAAAAAAGACTTGGAACCAGCTTTCTGGGGGGGAAGAAGATGAACTGTTGAGAGACACAAATGTGAGAGAAATATCTAACAGGCTACTGGAGACCCAGGAGTAGAACTTGAGGGACATCAGAACTAGATGTACAGATACAGAACTTCATTCAATAATTTTTGAGTCCTTACACATTGTGCCAGGAACTATTAAGACTACAGAAGGACAAAAATGAACAAGATTGACACCATTCCCCGCCCTCGAAGCTCACAATCTAGTAATGACAGTTACAATACAGTGTGATACATGCTATGAAGGATGAAACAAAAGAAGGCACACCTAACTTAAGAGTCTGGTAGCAAACAAGGCCTCTCAGAGAAAATAGTATTAACAGGAAGACCTGAAGAATGAGACGACCTTAGCCGCAGAGTGTGGATTCATGTGAGGGAGTGGTTAACAGCAGGGATGGGGATGCAAGCATATGTTCGGTGGAGATGGAAGCAAAAGTGTAGTAAAACTTAGGGCTGAGTGTGGTCATAGTGAATTCAAGGAATAAACATGGCAAAAGCACAGAGCATAGCATGGGGAGGGAAAGACAAACTTTTTTTGAATAGCAGATACACTGACAAGGTTTAAAAATTCAGAAAGTATGAAGGACTACAGAGGCAAAGCCTCCTTTCCATTCCCATACCCCAGCAACCCAGGTCTTCACAGACACAATCAATGTTATTAGTTTCCTGTGTTTCCTTCCAGAGAAATTTTATGCAAATATAATCAAGCATATATGTTGTTTTCTTTTTCTCTTCTCCCTGCCCCCTTTTATATAAATAGTAGTAGATTCTACACACCTTCTGCCCCTTGTTTTTCTTTTTAAATGATAAAACCTGGAGATATTTCTGAATCAGTGCTTAAGAGCTTCCTCATTCTGTTGCATAGCATTCCATTAAACAGGTACCATATTTTAAAGGATCTCAAACACCCTCAAAGGACAATAGGGGACCATAAAAAGATTTTAGGTAAGAGAATGACATGATGAAATTTGCATTTTATAAGCATCCCTCTGGTGATACGGAATGGAACAAGAAATGTCTGAACTAAGCACTGCAAGAGACAAGTGGAAATGGCACCTAGTGACTAATGAGAGAGGTGGACAGGGAATGATCCAGCTAATGTACAGGTTTTGGGCATGGTCAACTCTTGGTAGCATTCACTGAGGTAGGTAACATAAATAAGCAGAGGCCCAGATATACCAGGGAAGATAATGAGTTCCCTTCTGGATAGCATAAATTTAAAGTAAATATTAGAGTTGGAAGACACCTTCAAGTACAAATCCAAATTTTAGGGATTAGAAAAGTGCAGACATTAAATGCCTTCCTGCGATTCAGGGCTGGGAAACCTAATTCTCAATTCCCAATCAAGCTGCACCAGGGTGATGGCTGAAGTTATAAGTAAGCTCAATGAATAATTATCCCCTCCAGGGGATAATCCCACAAACAGGAAAGAACAGGAAAAGGAGCTTGCTAAGGAGAAATGGTCAGTGAAGCAGGAGACCCAAAACACTTCAACACCACTGAAGCCTAGGAAAAGAATGTTAAAGACAATGCCAAGGCATCTGAGAGATAAAGAAAAATAACTAGAACAATCCACTGTGAATGATATATCTTGATACAGAAGTTGAATGGAGTGGGGAGGGATGACATTAAGAACAAGGAAGGAAGAATCCTCCTCACAGTGGAGACTTATCATGTGCAAAGAAAAGGAAGCTATTAGAGAGATGAAGCTGACAGAGAAAGGATGCTACTGGAGGCTCTGACCCTCACAAGAACCACTTCAAGTAGAGGGAGTAGTGGGAAATAAACCTGACTAACCAAAGGGTAAGTTAAATCACAGGGGAACCCAAAATTGCTATAAGCAATAGGTAAAGATCAGTGAAGGTCCTGAAAGTAGCTAAGGCAACATTTTTAACAAACATTAATGAAACAAAGTGTCAATCCTCCCTAATAACATGGAGTTAAATACTCTAACTGAAACATAATCATGGGGTTCAATGTACTGTTTCTCAAGGAAAAAACATAATCATGGGGTTCAATGTACTGTTTCTCAAGGAAAAAAAAATAGTTACCACTTACTCATACCTGTGTCTGAATATCATCGCCTGTGACGATGTTTCCCACAGCCCGCAAAGCAGGAGAAACCACTTTATAATCATTATGCCTGTAACCATAAAAAGAAAGATGAATGCAACACTTCCATCCTTAGTTTCTTTTCTTTTTTTTTTTTAAAGATTTTATTTATTCATTTGAGACAAAGAGATACACAGAGAGAGAGAGAGCATGAGCAGGGGGAGAACAGAGGGAGAGGGAGAAGCAGGCTCCCCGCTGAGCCAGGAGCCCAATGTGGGGCTCCATCCCAGGACCCTGGGATCATGACCTGAGCCAAAGGCAGACGCTTAACCATCTGAGCCACCCAGGCGCCCCCTTATAAGGTCTCTTTTCTTTATGGCTGAAATCCAAACCAAATAATGTGACGTGACTTTAGAGCACAAAGGTCCCTATGGTGGTTCTTAAGGGAACCCTATGAGGATGGGTTTGGTATTCCCTGGAGAAGCTATCTCTCCCTTTACTTAGTATTTTTGAATAAAAACTATAAATCTTTCTTAATAGTCTTTCCCAGGTATTCTATCACCTGGGTTACAAGATTTCCCTCTCATTCTTTACTACGGTTTTCACTTCCTCTTTACTATTTTTTGGGGGGGGGGGGGCAGCAGACAGTTGAGGGAGAGAGAGAATCTTAAGCAGGCTCCATGCCCAGTGCAGAGCCCGATGCAGGGCTCATCTCACCACCCTAAGATCATGACCTGAGCCCAAATCAAGAGTTAGACACTTAACTGACTGAGCCACCCAGGTGCTTCAGGATTGACTCTTTTTAGTGGCAATATACCTTTTGCTATCTATCCAGTCGTTGGTCTCGGGTCATTAATCATTAGCTTAATTACACAGGTCACAGTTTTCCAAATGTTCCTGCTGAAGGACTGTTCACACCAAAAGAATGAGCAGTTCTTTATATAAAGGCCTCCAACAAACAGATTTGACATCAATGTAAGTAACAAAAGAGAGCAGCCCAAAGCACAATAAGTCAGTATAACATATTAATATTTATCAGCATCTAGAAAACTAATAAACTAATATAGGGACAAAAGAACAGACACGCTTGAAGATATCTTACATCAACAGCTCCACAAGTCTCCTACATACTCCTGCATCAATGACGGCTTGAATTTTATCATTAGGTCCATCTGACAGATATGAGAGGGCCCAGCAGGCATCAGCCAGTACGTCAGTGTCACTGACAAATAACAACCAGGAAAGCACATTCAGACAGGGGGAAACCTGTAAAGGGAAGATGATATGATAATGAAATTCAACAGAATAAAAGCTAGAAGTGAGGTGAGAAACTCCAAAAGGCAACCAGGCACACACATGGTAACTTCTGGGGTGATTAATACTTCTACAAGTGGGAGTAGCAAGCGGCATTTCCATCTTTGGGAATGCTGTCAGTGCCTTGCAGTTTACTTTGATGAGGTAGTCAGAGACCAAGGAAAATAATTTCCAAGAGTGAAGTATATACCAATTCTCAGAGTGAGATTCCTTGTTGAAACATACTCTTTCTGGACCAAAGAGGTAAAGAAACTGTTTCAAATGGTAAAGCTAAAAAGTTTTGTGTTTTAGATACTTTGCTATAAATAAAAAATGCTAGGTTTTAAGATCAATTCAGAGCTTTTTACAGTCAGTGAAAATTTATCCCAAATTAACACCAAAAAAACAACAAAAAGCCCAACTGCTTTAGAAACAGATAAAATTCTAACATTTTAAATTTTATGAAAAATTATCATCTGTTCACATTAATATTCATTGCTACACTCTTTTAATTTCGCTGCTACACTTTTAATTGTACTTTTTCTGCCCATTTCCCACAAGCATAATCCTTACCTTTGCAAATTCTGGAGGTGGACTTTTCCCTCTACAGAGATTAGACAAAGCCCATACTGCATTCCGGGTCATGGTCAGGCGGTTTTGCTTTGAAAATAACCTAGAAGCATGATGATACAATGGTAAACTATATAATGGACATTAATTATCTCATAGCATAAGATAAATACTAAATCTAATGCTGTACAGATAAGCACATGTCTTTAAATAGCTTTTCTCTAGAACAATACAGTTGAATTAATTCTAACCGCACTAATTCAGCATTTTGGCACTGGAGTAAGATAGAATGCCTGAAGAAATGATCTGAATAAGTTAGTAAGAAAATATCTGTAATGAAAAATAACAACGGAAAATCCAAAATGATTTCTAAAGATGCACTGCTTTCTGAGGAACTTTCCATATTTTTACTACTCAAAAAACTAGTAGTAAGAATAACAGAAACAAACTTACTGCAAAAGAGGGGGAAGAATGTTGCAGTCTAAGACATAGTCCCTGCACATGGTACTATCTCCAGCAATGTTGCCAAGAGCCCAGACTGCCTGTGAATGAATTCCTCATTAATGACAGGCTCAGAAAAGATGACAAAATACCACAATAACCCCTCACAAAATTATATGGTAGTTAATCGACATACACACAGGCACTATTAACAGTTCTAATAGAAGTTCACTATCGGGGAATCAAATGAAATAGTTGTGGGACTGGGGGAAGACAATCAATCATATTATAAAGTGTACATATGAACACTCCTGGTATAAGCTTATTAAAAAGGGAGGAGCCGGTTCTTATATATTCAGCTGATTAAAAATGTATTTTAAGCTTGCTTACAAAAGAGAACAGTGAACAAAGACCTCAAGAGCAGTCAAACTGCAGAAAGCTGTTAAACTTCTGGGGGTGATGGATACATGTATCTTGAATGGGATGATGGTTTCAAGAGTACATACATATGTCAAAACTTATCAAATTGTACTTTTTAAATACATGCAGTTTTCTGTATGTAAATTATACCTCAATTAAGCTGCAGAAGAAAATCATACTCATTTAGCAATGACTTATATTTATGAATTTGACAGATTGCAGTAATAAAAAAATCATGTTTTCTAGGTCTTTTTCTGCACAAAAGTGGCAAAGACCTGCTACTTCAATCACCACTAGAGATCCCTACAAGTAAAAGCTCAGTAACTGCTTATATGATCTAAAAAGTATATAGGGCTGGGGCGCCTGGGCGGCTCAGTCAGTTAAGCGTCTGACTCTTGATTTCAGCTCAGGTCATGATCTCAGGGTTGCGGGATCCAGCCCCTCATCCCAGGCTCCACACTCAGCAGGGAGTCTATTTGAGATTCTTCTCCCTCTCCCTCTCTCTCTCTCCCCCCGCACCTTTCCTCCAGCCCCTCCCTATACTCATGTGCTCTCTCATTCTAAAATAAATAAATCTTAAAAAAAAAAAAAGTATACAGGGCTTGGGGCGGCTGGCTGGTTCAGTCAGTGGAGCATGCAAGTCTTGATCTCAGGGTAGTGAGTTCAAGCCCCACGCTGGGTGTAGAGATTACTTAAAAAATAAAATCTTGGGGCGCCTGGGTGGCTCAGTCATTAAGCATCCGTCTTTGGCTCAGGTCATGATCCCAGAGTCCTGGGATCGAGCCCAGCATCGGGTTCCCTGCTCCGCGGGAAGCCTGCTTCTCCTTTCTCCCACTCCTCCTGCTTTTGTTCCCTCTCTCGCTGTGTCTCTCTCTGTCAAATAAATAAATAAAATCTTTAAAAAAAAATAAAATCTTTAAAAATAATAATAATCATAAAATAAAAATAAAAAGTATATAGGAATTTTAAAAAATTCAGGGCTGGAAGGGGAAAATGGTTTTATGTTTCCAGAAGAGATTCTGCCTACATTCACTATGAAATTTTCCATTTTGGTTGAGATTTCTAGAACACTCCTTGTGATGAACCATGGATTATCATGGACAGACAGGTGGTGAAACTGAGGCCCTGAATGTAAGACGAAAGGAAAAAATGGTATTCTTTCACCTGCTTCTCTTTGCTTCATTTTTTTTACCTGCTCCTGGACATCTTCAAACTCTGAGCTGAGCAACTCTATGAAGATAGGCACAGCTCCTGCCTGAATCACAATCCGGGTCTGAAGAGAATTTCCTGAAGCAATATTTGTCAATACCCAAGCTGATTCAAACTATAAAGATAAAAATAATTTTATTATCTTATTAGCATTTAATAGCTTGTTTTTAGTTATAACAATAAGGTTTTCTGTACATGAAGAAAAGAATCTGAAATCATTATTTGCACATAATCTATCAGATGGATTCTGTATCAATTTTAAATGGAGAATTCCCAGTAGAAATACCTTGACCTACAAGAATATTCAGTCTAAAATTTCAGACCAAAGTAGAGCTGACATAAGACCATAAAAAGAATGAGGGACTGCTTCATATGCTGATATAAAGGATTTCCTAAGAAACGAATGAAAGAAAAAAAAAAAAAAAAGCCTAACAGTGTGCATTAAGATAGCATCATACTATATTTTCTAAGAGGGTTAAGAAGGAATATATGCATTAATTTATTTATGGTACAGAATATCTCTGGCAGGAGTCTTAAGAAACTGTAAATACTTGTTACCTACATGGAGAAGTAAGGGTGTAAAACCTTATGTACCTTTTGGCCTTAAATCATGTATATTATCTAATAAAAAAATAAAAGTAAGTAATTTCTGTAAGATGGAGAGGGGGAAAAGTGGAGAAGATGTTATGTAAAATGTGTAACACACAAGAACAGTGAAAAAGGCAAAAGATATTTTAAATAATGATAAGTGAGCCAAAAGGAGTTAATCGGCATTCAGTTAATAGAAATGGCAACTTCAGAGCATAAGAGCTTCTGACAAATGAGAGGGCTCCAAACTAAAGGACAGAGGTAAGAGTTTTTTAAAAAGAGCATTCTCAAAGGTTGATAAACTGGTAAACAGAAGGTATGAAGGGAATCATGGCCAACAAAAAGTACAGCATTTTACTAATCTGCCCATCTCTACAATAATTTGAGTCTCTATCCTAAAATGGAGAAATCCAAGAATGAACTCTTAAAATTCTATTTACTTAAAAGAGTTCTTACTAAACTTTAGTTTTGTTTCCTTCTTCTGTTCTGTCTTCTATTTATCCTTTAATGAAGCACATATGCAGAAAAAAATTCAGTGGTATGTCCCTTGAATGAGAGATCAATAAAAAGTCATTAAAAGAGCTGTGACTCTTCTAAAAGCTTTTGGGTCAACTGAAAGGCAGCTGTCATATGGAAAACTAAATCATCAATCATTGGGTTTGGGGGAAGGAAGGCAGAAGACATGGGAAGACAATCTGATTAGCATAGTGCAAAGCATGTGAATGACAGCAAATTCACAGCAGAAGACGCTTAAAGAAGGGGACGTTCCAAGAAACCTATGAATGTGACTACACAAATGAATACAGTAGTTAGGTAGCCTAACTGGACAATGATATTACAGCAACAAGGAGGCCCAGACCAGGAGCACCACAGTTAGAGGGAAAATATTTTCTTTGTGGTGACTTTGTTAAAAGTTCAGGAGACTTCTAAACACTGAATATCATAAAGTAAAAATTCCATCACATACCACTTCCATAATTAAATCACTCCTGAAATCTGTGCTCAAACCCCTTTCAATCTGTCTGAATTGAAACTTTACATTTGTTCAGTACTTTGTATTTTCAAAGCATTACTCACGTATGTTCCTCACAACATCCTAGAGAAGTCTGGCTTTTGTAGTTTATGAATGAGGAAACTCAGAAAAAGATCCAACAATCTAATTATATTATGCAGCCACTCAAAGGGAACTAGATTACAGCCTCCCAATCGAGTACGCTTATGAAGCCCAGCCATAGTCTCCTCTCAGACACACACCTGTAACATTGACAAGAATCTTTCAATTGCTTGGAGTTTTGCTACCTAGGCAAGAATTTCAAATAATGATATGCCAGAGATATGCCAGATTATTTAGGGGATGCTAAAAAGAAAACAGTTCACCTAAAATGCAGTTTCTTTTGCTTTCTAGGAAAAGTAACTAGCAGAGTTAAAATTGATTAACAGAGACAGATGATGTGAATACAAAACCAAACCTTCCTACCAGACGGCAGGCTCCAAGTTGAACAAAGAGTCATCAGATACTGCAGAGACCAAGTCAAAGAAATGACAACTGTGAGGAAAAGCTGTGTGTGAAGAATGAGTGAGATGGGCATACAGACCAGTCTTTGTCAAAGAGAAAGCAGAATGTGGTGAGATTTTGATGCAAATGAAATGACAACAACCACCTGCATGGATAAAGGCTTATTAAAGAATTATCAGTGAGAAAAAATTAGAAAACTCATTGCTCCTGCTCTTTGTCTGATGAGGTTTAGTACCAGGGGTCTCACAGGAAACGAGAGGGAATTCCAGATGCTACTTAAGAGAATGAAATGGAAAAGCAAAACAGAGTGACAGTGAATAGGAAAACAGAGAATAAGTGAATAACAGGCTAAACATGGATGGAAGAAAATGGGAAATTAGGCTACCTCGGCAAAAGAAGAATGTACCAGAGTTAGGTTTATTTCTAAGAAGTACACGGTGATGATAACCTCTGAAAGTAAGATTCAAGGCTTCCCCTCATAAGAACAGAAATCAGAAAGCATCAGGGACAGAAAGAGATGAATAACTTATAACCAGAGAGCCACTGAAAATCATATTCGTGCATGAATAAGGCATTCTCTCTTTCACATGCACACACACACACAGTGATTACTTTGATGTTTACCTTGTAAAAACTCATCAAGCTATACTTGTGCAATTCTCTATGTATTTGTGTGAAATGTATATATGTAGGTAGGAGAGAGGAGGGAAAGAGGAAGAAAACTACCCCTCATCATACAGGCCCGTTAATAAGGTGCTAAAAGAAACAACTTTCAAATGTGTTTAATATGTATGTTTTTTAAAAACTGAGTGTACTTCAAACTAACCTCTCTTTCACTGAGTATTGCCGTCATTGTGCTGTTGTTAATGTTTTGGCCTTGGGGCCCAGAAGAGAATTTAACATGCAAGAGAGCTATGAAATGTGAAAGTCCAGAGTTGACAGCAAAAACGACTGCCATCAAGTTATGAGAGAAATGCCAGAAAAAGTAATTTAAGTAACCATGAGACTCAGAAGATCGGTAACATGATGAATAAAATCTAAGAAATGGTATCACTTGAAGTAATAAATGGTAGCCAAAATAACTATAATCCTTACACCCTCTTTTTTAAATTGATGATTTTTTGTTTTAAATTACTATATTCTCAATGTTCCAAGAATGGGACCATGCAAGGAAAACAACCTGTCATGCTGTGATTACTTATAGGTTGTAATTCCACTATTACTGTTCACTGTCCAGACTTGCTAAATAAGGCTACAGTTGAAATCTGAAGGTCACACTGCAGATTTGATATTTTCTCTCTTTCCTTTCTCAGTCTCTACCTTCTGGTGCTCAATTCCTTAAATAAGGAAAATGAGAATCCAAAGCTGAAGTACTTCTGACCTCCTATCAAGTTTCCCACTCCAGGTTGAGGTACGCCTGGTTCCCTTTCTCCATTTGGATCAGGACTCTGTTGCTGGCCACTTTGCCGGGTCCACTCTGGCTCCTAGCAAATGCCAGGCTCACCTGGAGAGCAAGTGAAAAGAGAGGCTCACATCAGAAAAATAAACCCAGATATCAAACTCTGCAGAGAACAGTGCCTGAGTCATCTGAGCAACCTTTCAAGAAAGGTAGAGGGATCAATGAGGATGGGAAAAGACACAGGAGGATGAAGGCTTACTGCAGTTTATCACATTAAGCTTTCATATGGGACAAGAAAGGCAAGAATGGGGAAACTAAACCAATTTAATTTAAATTTACAATTTTAAGAGGAGTACCTAATGAATGGAACTAGGATGCAATTTACTTATTTCTAGCTATTTTCATAATAAGCTTCTGTAAGAAGGTTTGAGAATGCAACATCTCAGCACTGCAAAGGACACTACAAACATGCTGGGCCTGGACTCAAAAAAACAAACAAAGTAGGCCCAGGGAATACACCATACGGCAGACCAATCTCGTATCAAAGGTTCAGATATGTTTGAGGCCTACATGTCACTGAACCTGCGAATGCTCTTAACTAGATGACATTATCTGCTGCCAAAATCCTAGATTCCACCCCTGTTCACCTCGTTTGAAGGCAAATGAGTATCTGGGTGGCACTGCCCAAAGCAGGCATTTTTATCTCCCTGGTGTGAGGTACCTCACTGATTCAGGCATAAGGAGAGCCAGAAAGTAAGTGAAGAGAGCCTTCACTAGGATTCCCAGTTCTTTATGGAATGAAGGGATTAAGTTTGTCCACAGGATTTATCATTGAGTTGAGCTATTACTATGACTATATCTTATTACTCTCTTTCTGGAAGAGAAATGGCAAAAGCCCCATTCCAAAAACACACTATTCAGATTTCTAGTAAGCAGGTAGGAATATCAGGGACAACTTACATCCTAGTGCTCTCCAAGAAGACAGAGGAAGGAGTACCCTCCAAGCTTCCCAGAGCACGTCTAATTATGTGAGCATGAAGCCTCCTGGCTCTAATGTCTCCCTCAATATATTTGCTCCTCCTGCTTCTAGAGTGGTTGACGTTAGCCACTAGTCACACTGGAGAGAGAACACCATGTGGTACTTAAAATGTACACAGAAGAAAAGCTGGGGATGATGACCTTTAGATAATAAACAGATTGGTTATTTCTCAGAGCCTTTGGACAACTAAGTTGAAAATCATGAGGTGGTCGCTTCCAGAGGAATCATTTCTCAATCTTTCAGCCTAATTATTAGTTTGCACAAGGGTGGAATCTGAGAATTTAGATAGAAGCAAATTAGAGATTTCCAAAGGCTTTCATCTTCAGAAGATCCAAGTTCTAGGATTACAGAATCAAAAATGATGTAGAATCTACATGTGGTAGCCAGGAGAGGGCACTGTCTGAGAGAACATACTGCACTCTTTGGGGAGTATCGGAAAATGTGGAGATGGGGAAAGGCCCAATTCTCTTTTCTCATTTTAGGCCTACGAGGTTATACCATCATTCTTTAACGCATTAAGAAACTGGACCTCTGTGACCCCCTATTAGAAACTGCTAGATCCAGGAGTAAATTCAGTATCTCTCAACTACTCTCACTGTCAGAGATAGGATACAAACATATTTTCACATGAACAAAATGATAATTTTCCCTACCTCCCTCTTCCTACAAAGCTTTTCAAATGATAAACTGCAGTAAGGCTCTTCATTTGGTCCCTCTGGTTCTCTTGGCAGGTTGCTTAGGGCTCAGGCTCAGTACTCTGCAGTGTTGGTTGTCTGGATTTCCCTTTTTTTTCTGATAAAAGTCTCTTTCCTTGCTCTCTAGATGAACCTGGTAATTTTTCAGGTGTCTGATGATCCTGGCCTTAGATGGGGACCAGAATTATAATCCAGGAGGCAGCTAGCAAAACAGAATCTTAATTCAAATGAACTTGGGGATGAGTAAATGTCAAACTGGAGAAGAAAAACTGATGGGACATTGAAGTACTCTACCTTTTCTGGATTTCTTGTTTTTCTTCTGGAAAGAACTCATCACCGCAACAGAGAGAGTAAAAGGAGGAGAAAGATGGGGTGGGAGGAAAGGAGAGAAAATATCAAGACAAAGCATCAAGTCTTATGAATCATCTACAATCCTCTGGACAGTAAGGAATCTGGCGACAGGGGTTACTATCATTTACAAAAATGCCCCACTCCCTCTAGCCTTAGAGAGTAAGGCAAAAACGAACAAGAAGGTGAAAGTTATCTTTAGGATTAACTTGTTACTGGCAAATTTACTTGGAAAACTAACCTCATTTGTGATCTACTTTGCACCTGACCCATTTTTATAGTTGCAGAGTCTCTCTAAAGGGCCTGAGCCCTTCAGATTAGATCCTACAAGTGAGAATTTAGATATCACAGGTCCTGGTTAAAGAATAACACAGAAACTGATTCAACGGGTTACTCCAAGGAAGTACAGCTACTGAAAAATTACCAGTTTACTAAAAATCCAACTTTTATTCAGGAAAAAAAAAAACAACAACAAAAAACAGTATTCTAAAATTTCTAGGTAACTGCCATGATGAGTCAGTTGACAACTGGTCCTTTTTACTATGAAAACTATACAATCCAGAAGCTGCAAAATTTCCTCCTGGAGCCCCTATATAATACAGTACTGACAGACTAAATAAACCTAGCACCAAGCACCAACATTCACAACAAGGCTACCTCCTTGTCAGCTCTTGAGGGGAAGGGGAAGGGTTTAATTAGGACCAGGTTTGGGGATTAGTGAGTCTCTAATCTAGCCCATGTTACACAGCCTTGCAAAGCCAACAAAGAGAACTCAAAAATCCTTCAAAACCAAATTTTACGTAGCCCACACTTAGGTCCTATCTATAATGACTCCTCCACCACACACAATTCCCTATTAAATAAGTATTATCCACAATCACCATAAAATAATTTTTCATAACTAAAAACGACAAGAATTCTAAAGAGTAAAACCAAGAGCCTAGATGTTAACAAAGCTATCAGAGCAATGCGGTTGCTTGCAATGTGGTTGTCAGAAACATCATCTCAAAAATGAACCCCTTGTATGAATTAACATAAATAACAAATCTGTATGTAAAATGTACGCTTGCAAAAGGCATTAAAATAGGAGGCAAGAAATGAAAATGGTTCGCACCTGCAGTGTACAGTTCTCTTTTCGCTTGAGGAACTCCACAAACCTGGCCACTACTCCTGGTGTGCTGATGACTTCATCAATGGGAGGATTAGGTTCTGTCTCCCCATAAGATAAAAGGAAAGAAGAAAAACAATCCTTTCATTTCAATGCAAGAACTTTATTATTTCAAACTTACTTCATAATATCCCTCCCTCCATTTTAGCATCTCTTTCATGTTGGAAATCTAAACAAGAAAAAAAAAAGTAAAACTGTAAATGTGAAATTGAGTTCAGTCACTTTGAGACTACGGTAGCCCCAAAGGCTTCACAATAAGGTAAGCTTTAATGTGGAAAGGATGGGCAGACTTCTCAAAAATTAAAGTTAGTGCCTCTACAACTTTAGAAAACTTAGAAAGTAGGGGGAAAAACATCCAAACACAGCCTTATTATTATTTCGGAATACTTCCTTCTAGTCCTATCTCCGTATATGGGTTTTTAGTCTAACAGTAAGTTGTTTCAAGAAACTGGATTAGGTGACTCTGCATGTGCTTGCAGGATTTAATTTTACAGCTGTGGTGATAAGTAGGAGCCAGCAAGAATTCATTAAGGATGACTTGCCAAATTAATCTCATTTTTCAGTTATGACAAAAAAGTATCTTAAAAATGAAATCATCTGATAGAAACCTGTTTGATAAACAGATAGAAAATGTCCTTAACAATCAGCATGGTAATTTCAGCGAGTGATCTGACGAAGTTCTTGATGACATTCATGTAACAATGCAAGAAAAATGGCAGCTGGATTACAGTACTTAGTTCCAAGGATTCTTAGTCAAGTCCAGAGCTTTACTGAAAAAAAGGTGACTATGTTAATTTGGAGCGAGCTCTGATGACATGTCCTTTGCCTGGTTCAACATTTTTATCAACCATTCAGATAACACAACAAATAAACTGGATGGTCATAATAAAGATGATAATTTTCCCTACCTCCCTCTTCCTGGTTAAAATGCTAGATTACAGAAATAACATATAGGAAGAACAGTAAGCTGAAGTTAGCAGGGATAAAGCAGGATTTAGCACCCGAATTTTGTAAGAAGCAATTTTAAAAAATCTCCATGACTTTACAGACAGAACCTAAAAACAGTACACGAAGAGAAGTCCTAGGGAGTTTAGATGCTGCAAGTACAGTCAACCATGCCTGTGCCATGACCACAATGACTGCTGCTATCGTGGAGGACATTATTGGGATGTGTAGTCTCGGGGCAAGGAAAGCAATCTCTCCCCACACCTTAGGGTCAGAAGAACACATCTGAAGTACTGTATTCTAGTTATCACATTTTTAAGAGGGATGGCTGGGAAACTAGAATCCTGGCAGGAAAGTAGGAGAGCAGTGAAAGGTCCTAAAAAGCCCCATGGTGTGAGAAAGGCATTAGACTCAGCATGCTGAAAAGAGACAAGGGGAATGGGGAAGGTGTCCATGACAACGGCCTTCAAATATTAAGGTGTCACACAAAAAATAGAATTGTTATGTCACACACAATTCTGTTATGTCTATATGTTATAGACATTTTTATTCCAGGTCCCTCAAGGGATATATTATCACTTATGATTCCAAAAAACTCTACCTTACTACTGGGGGGGGGGGGTCTCCTGTTTATTTAATGTCAACATCTACTACCGACATTTTAATGTGGTTTAGAGTTCCACAGTTCTTTTTACTTGTCCAGAATGGCAAAGGTATCATATTCTAGTCTACCCTAATTATACCAAAAAGAAAAAAAAGGTAATTTCCCTGACCACTAATAAATCCATACTTAAATTTCATGAGAAAATGGTAACATTAAAACCAGCAATCACTGATCTTTCAACTGATACTCTAAAAGTTTTTCTTGGGGCACCTGGCTGGCTCAGTTGGTAGAGCATGGGACCCTTGATCTCAGGGTTATGAGTTCAAACCCCATGTTGGATTACAGAGATTACTTAAAAATAATAAAATCTTTAAAACAACAACAACAAAAAGGTCTTCTTAAAAAAAGAGTGGAGTTTCTTGATTTGAATTAACATAAAATACTGACTACTGTTCATATCACTTTACAGGTCTTTTATAAAATAGCTCAGAAATGAAAATAAGGCTGCTTTCTGGTCCTGGTAAGATTGCATAAAGTAAGAAATTCAGAAGTTAGCCATGGCTCATAATTACATATACATCTATATGTGTCCTTTTATTTTGTTGATAGACACACTCCAAAGCAATTTATCTGTGATGTGAAAAATAGATTATGGGAAAGTAGTATTTTTTTAAATGAAAAAATATACAGTTGACCCTTGAACAATACAAAGGTTGGGGCGCCAATCCCCGCAGAGTCAAAAATCCTTACGTAACTTTTGACTCCCCCCAAAACCTAGCTACTAATAGCCTACTGTTGACAGGAAACCTCACCAATAACATAAACAGGCAATTAGCACATATTTTGTATGTTATATGTATTACATACTGTATTCTTACAATATAGTAAGCTAGAGAAAAGAAAATGTTATTAAGAAAATCATAAGGAAGAGAAAATACATTTACAGTACTGTACTGAATTTATCGAAAAAGACCTTCAAGTCCTTGTCACTCAAGGGTCAAAACTGTACTTTAACATATTTAGAACTCACCTTTTGAAAGCAATTTTCTGAATTTCTGTGTTGCTGAAAGCTGTTGCTCTGGGCTATTGGAAAATATCATTTCAATCATGTCGGAAGTAATAACACCACCCTGGGAATACAAACAAAAAGCAAATATGATAAAATTTTAACTTTAACTCAAAGGAAAACAAAGACAGTGTAAGTTGTGGCCACATTAAGTTAAATCATATTTATCTAGAAGAGCTGTACAAAGGTAGGATAATCTATACACGTAGAAATGTCTGAGATGATTAATAATGTGATAAAGCCAAATACTTTGTCTATCATTAAGAAGCTCATGACAATAAGAAAGTAATCTTAGTAGTAAATACTAAGACACGGCGTTTATTACTCTTCCTCCCTTGCTCATCACATGGTTGGTTGTTCCTTGTCATTCAAGTTCTAAAAGAAGGCTCTTCATGACCTCCAAATCTAAAGCAGCCACTCCATCTCTATCGCTCTATTTTAATCCTAGGCCAGCCTTTTTCACTATCAGATATTTTTCTCAGTTATGTGTTTAATGCCCAGGCTCCTCCAGTATAATACAAGCTTCTTGAAAGCCAAAGAGCCTGTCCATCTTACCATTCTATCACTGATGATTGGCATACAGCAGATGCTCAACAAATATTTACTGAATGAGGACAGAATAGTCTTGTATAAATCAGACTCTAGCCACTACCAAATTCAACAATTGACTCTTAAATTTATTTAAAATTTCTATTTTCTTTAAAACTTTTCAGGTTTCCACTATTTTCCTGCTTTATTAGTACTTTTCCATTTTCTACAACAACCCATCTCCGGTATTAGTAGTTAACCTTCTTCTCAGGGTCACTTGTCACAATGAAATGAAGTTCTTATCATTTCATGAAGGGTTAGAGTCAACAAGATGAACTGTGAAGAAAGCTGCACTGAGTTATAAATGCTGGAGGGCTGGTAAACAATACCTAACACTTAAGAATCCCAATGGGGAGAGGGAAGCATTCCGCTCTTAACAGAAAAGTAACTAACTTGAAACTTACAAAACTGATTCCTGTAAACAAAGGTACCTATATGATTCTGTTATGAATGTTTGGATACACTTAGATATACACATTCTCTCTCTCTCTCTCTCTCTCTCTCACACACACACACACACACACACACACACACTCATTCTCTTCCCTCTCTTATTCCCTAATATAAAATGTACTGACTTTACATTCATGGTATTGAAGTACCGTTAATTTTATATCACAGCATTTAAGTTACAGGAGATCAAGAAGAGGAATGAACATCACTCAAGGACTTACGTCTTCTGGGAAAAAGGTTAGTGCATTTTTAGTTGCACAAAGGATAACTATCATGTTACATGGAGATACGACTTTGTTATTTCTTTATCTGAGACTCAGTATGGTTTAAGGAGTTCTATAGGGATGCCAAGTGGCCAAGGAGTGTACTAGATGGTTAATTTTCTATGTCAACTTAACACACACTGGTCTAGACTTGCTATGAAAGTATTTTTTCAGATGTGATTAACATTTAACATTTAAATTAGTATACTTAAGTAAAGCACTTTACTCTCCAAAATGTGTGTGGGCCTCATTCAATCAGTTGAAGGTCTTAAGAGCAATGACAGGTTTCCTGAGGAACTTCAGCCCTAAAACTACAACATCAATGCTTACCTGAATTTTCAGCCTACTGATTTGCCCTACAGATTTTGAACTTACCAGCTCCAACAATTACATGAACCAATTCCTGAAAATCAATCAATCTCCTATTGGTTGTTTCCTTTGTAAAACCCTGACTAATACTACGGTCCACAAAACACTTCATATTTATTTTTACATCCACTAAAAGAACAACAACAAAAAAAATGGACAGCTCAACTTTCTGAAGGACCTAGAAGAATTTACCACAAAATTATAGTGTTAGCTACAATGTCTATATAGATTCCAAAGTGATTTAAACTGCTCTCCTAATTCCAAAAGAAAACTGGTCCATAAAAACTGGAGATCTATGAAGCAAAAAAGAAAAAAAATATATATATAGGACACTGTGCATAATATGCCATAATTTGCTTAAAAGGGGCGTGGAGGGGAAGGGGAGAAAAAAACATTTTCTCAAAGAGAGTTAAGAATCTAGTAACAGTGGTTGCCAATGAAGAAAGAAATTGGGTGGAAGAAAGAGATTTCTCTTTTTGAAAAACCATCTGTGTGTGTGTATGTGTGTTCTATTAATTGACTAAAATAAACTAGAAATATAGACAGGTATAATCCATATAAATAAAGCATAATTTTTATCTGCTTACATAACCTCAAGAAAGTTACAAAATGGGTTATAATAGAAAATTCCAACAGCTATGATGTGGAACCAATTTTTAAAATCATATAAACATGCCCAATTTGATAACTGAAATGAACAGCAAACTGGGATTTCCTTTAAAGTATCCCTTGTTATTTAACTTGTAAGGAATAATTCTATAATTATCTTTTTAAGTTTTAATAGCTGAATTAATCTTCATAATTTAGTTAATTCTGTTTATTGGCATGTTAGTCACACTATAATAAACATCTAATGAACCAAGAGATTAAGTATATGGCTTCTTTTTTTTAAAATGAAATGCCAAGTACTTTCTACAGCCATCTACTAACACCTTTTTTAAAAACCCAAATAGCGAGCTACACCTCATATCTTCCTCAGAAAAACACTAAAAAAAAGAGTTTCTTTCATTATCTTACTTACTGGTGCCATCTCCATGTTATTAATCTGAGCCTCATGGAAGCCTCCATCCGACATAACTTCTTCTTCTGTTTCTTCCTCTGCTGTAGCAACATTTCTTCGCTTGAATAACTGAAAAATAAAAGACTGTAACTCAAGTATTCTACTACAAGGGAGTTCAACATGCAAACTTTAGGAACCCCACTTAAAAGACAGTAAGGAAGGATGGAGTTTTTTGAAAATCATTTAAAAAATTCTAAAGGCTGGGCGCCTGGGTGGCTCAGTCGTTAAGCGTCTGCCTTCGGCTCAGGTCATGATCCCAGGGTCCTGGGATCGAGTCCCACATCGGGCTCCCTCCTCGAGGGGAAGCCTGCTTCTCCCTCTCCCACTCCCGCTGCTTGTGTTCCTGCTCTCGCTATCTCTGTCTCTGTCAAATAAATAAATAAAATATTTAAAAAAAAAAAAATTCTAAAGGCTGTGCCACCTTCGACCTTTCCTGATGAGGAACTATTTCAGAATTCTCCAGTCTTATAATCTAATACAATTAACTATCACAATATGCTGTTACCAACACCTGATGTGGTAAAATGACTAAGAGAAGCCTGATATTGCATGACACATAAAAAGGGTAAGGTTGAAAAAGAGCTAGGGCATGCTTGGCCGTTCCCCTCTTTCCTCTATGTTTAGTTGGTGATCATATAGTCTTACCAATACATTAGGGGAAATGATAAAAAATTATGTCAGAATGACTTAATGATTCCCTCTTAACCCTCAAAGATAATGAACCGAGACTTCCCAACCTTTCCAACCTGTCCAGCAACCGGTAATAACAAGTGACTACTGCTTGAACACTACCTTTAAAGCATCTATTAATTTGTGTAGGCAAAGAATACTTTCTTCCAAAGGTAGCCCTCTAAGGTGCCTCCATTGTATCTTTAATAGCCTGAAGCAGTTCACTTGTTCAAGCAATGATGGGACTAACAGTAACTTATCCTCTTATCCTACACAACTCTAAAAGCAGACAAAATCCATAAAATAATGGGTTTCAGCTAAAGGATAACGGGCAGCCCAGGCAGTGATCCTTCAGCAAAGAAAAAAGACTGGCCCTATGACTGCCTCAGATTATTGCCTGGACAGAGTTTCCAGGCTGTAGCACAGGGAGGACAAAACTCAAACAGGGCCTACCGGCTCCCTCAGTTGAGGAGACAAGAGTTTAGAACTGAGGAGGCCAAGGCAACTAGAATCCATAGGCAAAGTAATGAAGAGAAGAGATCAACACAGAGGGAATTCTAGAACTCTGCAGAAAATTCCCCATGAGTCTTTAGCTTCGTTCTACAAGCACAGGTGTGTAAGAAAAATATAGCTGAGAAAGGAACGACCTCCAACAAACATGCAGAACAATTCTGGAAGTTACATGGGTCAAGGAATACTCATGCTTCAACCAAACAATAGAAAAGACTTCCTAATATATATAGGGCATTTAGTAGAACGCTCAGGATACTGACTCAGAAGTGAGGCTAAATTAGCTCCAGCCCAATGAAACGTAAAAACAAACTGGTTCCAAACAATTTACTAAATCCAAAGACAAATTCAGAATTACATATATTAAAAGATGTAAGGTAAAATTCACATGCTTGGAATTCAATTGGAAACTACCAAGCACTAAAAAGAAGAAAAGACTATCCACGGGGAAGAAAAAAAAAATCAATCAAAATCACCTGGAAATGACAAAAATGGCAGAAATGTAAAAGAACATTAAAAAACAAAAAGACTAAGCAAATACCTAGATATGAAAAACACAATTTTTCAGATAAAAAGTACACTGAATGGGATTAACAGCAGATAATATACTGCAGAAGAAAAGATCAGTGAATTTAAGGATATAGCAAATATAAACACACCAAAATTAAAGACATGGCAGAAAGGTTGAGAAAATAGGTACAAAATATAAGTCAGTTGTGGGACATCAAGTGACCTAATATACATGCACTGGAACCCTAAGGTTGGGGTGGGGGAATATATTTGGAAAATGGCCAAAAGTTTTTTTGTTTTTTGTTTTTTTAGTTTCAAATTTTTATTTGAATTCCAGTTAGTTAACATATACTGTAATGTTAGTTTCAGGAGTAGAATTTAGTGATTCATCACTTAATATAACACCCAGTGCTCATCACAACAAGTGCCCTCCTTAATATCCATCACACATTTAACCCATCCCCTACTCACCTCCCTCCATCAACCCGTTTGTTCTCTATAGTTTAGTGTTTTATGGTTTGCCTCTCTTGTTTTCCTCCTATGTTCATCTGTCTCATTTCTTAAATGCCACATGAGTGAAATCATATGGTACTTGTCACTTTTTTAAAGATTTTAAAGAAAGAGAGAGCACGCGAGCATGAGCAGGGCAAGGGGCAAAGGGAGAGAGAGCAGCAGACTACCCACTGAGCACAGAGCCTGATGCAGGGCTCAATCCCAGGATCCTGAGATCGCGACCTGACCCGAAGTCACTTAACCGACTGAGCCACCTAGGTGCCTGGTATTTGTCTATGACTGGCTTATTTCGCATAGCATCCTTGGTCCATCCACGTCATTGCAAATGGCAGGATTTTATTATTATGACTAATAGTCCATTGTGTATATATACCACTTCTTTTTCCATTCATCAGTAGATGGACATTTAGGCTCTTTCCATAATTTGGCTATTGTTGATAATGCTGCTATAAACATCAGGGTGCACGTATCCCTTTGGATCAATATTTTTGTATCCTTTGGGTAAATACCTAGTGGTGTAATTGCTGGATCCTAGGAAACTTCACACTGTTTTCCAGAATGGCTGCACCAGTTTGCATTCCCACCAACAGTGTAAGAGGGCTCCCCTTTCTCACATCCTCACCAACATCTGTTGTTTCCTGAGTTATTAATTTTAGCCATCCTGACAGATGTGAGGTGATAGCTCATCGTGATTTTGATTTCTATTTCCCTGATGATGAGTGATAGTGGGCATCTTTTCATGGGTCTGTTAGCCATCTAGATGTCTTCCTTGGAAAAATGTCTATTCATGTCTTCTGTCCATTTCTTGACAGGATTGTTTTCTGGGTGTTGAGTTCTTAAGTTCTTTATACTAACCCTGTATCAAACATGTCATCTGCAAATATCTTCTCCCATTCTGTAGGTTGCTGATTGTTTCCTTCGCTGTGCAGAAGCTTTTTATCTTGATGAAGTCCCAATACTTCATTTTTGCTTTTGTGGGAATTCCCTTGCCTCCAGAGACATGTCTAGTAAGAAGTTGCTACGACCGAGGTCAAAGAGGTTGCTGTCCATGTTCTCCTTTAGGATTTTGATGCCTGTCTCACATTTAGGTCTTTCATCCATTTTGAATTTATTTTCGGGTATAGGGTAAGAAAGTGGTCCAGTTTCATTCTTTTTGCATGCTGCTCTCCAGTTTTCCTAACACCATTTGTTGAAGAGACTTTTTTCCATTAGATATTCTCCCCTGCTTTGTAGAAGATTAGTTGACCATATGGTTGTGGGTCCATTTCTGGGTTTTCTATTCTGTTCCATTGATCTATGTGTCTGTTTTTGTGCCAGTACCATACTGTCTTGATTACTGCAGCTTTGTAATATAACTTGGAAGTCCAGAATTGTGATGCCTCCAGCTTTGCTTTTCTTTTTCAGGATTGCTTTGGCTATTCAGGGTCTTCTGTGGTTCCCTACAAATTTTAGGATTGACTGTTCTACCTCTGTGAAAAATGCTGGTGGTATTTTGATAAGGACTGCATTAAACGTGTAGATTGCTTTGGATAGTATAGACATTTTAACAGTATTTGTTCTTCTAATCCATGAGCATGGACTGTCATTCCGTTTCTTTGTGTCTTCCTCAGTTTCTTTCAAAATTGTTCTGTAGTTTTCAGAGTACAGATCTTTTACCTCTTTGGTTAGATTTATCCCTAGGTATCTTATGGTTTTTGGTGCAATTGTAAATGCAATCGATTCCTTGATTTCTTTCTGCTGCTACACTGTTGGTATATAGAAACGCCAACATGGGGCACCTGGGTGGCTCAGTCATTAAGCATCTGCCTTTGGCTCGGGTCATGATCCCAGGGGCCTGGGATCGAGTCCCGCATCAGGCTCCCTGCTTAGCAGGAAGCCTGCTTCTCCCTCTCCCACTCCCCCTGCTGGTGTTCCCTTTCTCGCTGTGTCTGTCAAATAAATAAAATCTTTAAAAAAAAGTAAAGAAAAGAAACGTCAACAGATTTCTGTATGTTGGATTTTGTATCCTGCAACTTTACTGAATTTGTGTATCAGTTCTAGCAATTTTTTGGTGGAGTCTTTTGGGTTTTCCAGAGCATCATGTTGTCTGCAAATAGTGAAAGTCTGACTTCTTCTTGCCAATTTGGATGTCTTTTATTTCTTTTTGTTGTCTGACTGCTGAGGCTAGGACTTCCAGTCCTATGTTAAATAACAATGGTGAAAATGAACATCCCAGGTCTCATTCTTGACCGTAGAGGAAAAAGCTCTGTTTTTCCCCACTGAGACTGATATTAGCTGTGGGCCTTCTGTAATATGATGTTGAGGTATGTTCCTTCTACCCCTACTCTGTTGAGGGTTTTTATCAAGAATGGATGTGTACTTTGTCAAATGCTTTTTCTGAATCTACTGAATCATATAGTTCTTACCCTTTCTTTTATTAATATTGTGTATTACACATTGATTGATTTGTGAATATTGAACCACCCGTGCAGCCCAGGAACAAATCCCACTTGATTGTGGTGAATGATTCTTTTAATGTACTGTTGGATTTGATTTGCTAGTATTTTGTTGAGGATATTTGCATCCATGTTCACCATGATATTGGCCTGTAACTGTCTTTTTTAAGTGGGGTTTTTGTCTGGTTTTGAAGTCAGGGTAATGCTGGCCTCGAAGAAGGAATCTGGAAGTTTTCCTTCCATTTCTATTTTTTGGAATAGTTTGAAAAGAATAGGTATTAACTCTTCTTTAAATGTTTGGTAAAATTCCCCTTGGAAGCCATCTGGCCCTGGACTTTTGTTTCTGGGAGATTTTTGATTACTGATTCAATTGCTTTGCTGGTTATCAGTCTGTCAAGTTTTCTATTTCCCCGTTTGTTTTGGTAGTTTATA